TGATCCTAACATACTTTTCTTTATCTAATTTATCTTTAACATTGAGTTTCCCAAGTTTTCTTAAATTTTTAATAACTACTGGAACATTTTCATCATTTACATCGGAGGGGGACATTTTAATACTTCTATGATAAGAATGATTATAACTCGAAACTATGGAAGAAAGAGCATCGATATAACGCTTACTTCTTGTGTGATATAAATAACGATAGATTCTAGTCCTTAAAGTTCTGTTAAAGCGTTCAGCTATTGCACATTTTATTGTATCGTCAGTTGTAGTGAAAAAATTGATATTATGTTTCTCCATAGTATTTTTGAACGTTTTATTGACGAATTCTCTACCTTGATCCGTCTGTAATTTTTTTGGTACTCTTCCTAAATCAAAGATAGACTCAAAAGCTCTAGACAATGTGTCACCAGATTTGTCTTTAAGAGGTAGAACCCACGCAAATCTACTGAGAACATCAACTACTACTAGTAAATAGCGATAGTTATCATTTTCTTTAGAGAACCATGTCATGTCTAATAGATCCGCCTGCCATTGATGATCAATTGCATACGCTAGTATCGATAGTCTTGGAAAATTCTTTCTTGCTTGTCTGAAAAGAGTATAAGTATCTTGTGCTTTCAACCAATTAACAACTTCATTCTGCTTCAAATCAGGGATGACTTTTTTCGCTTCTGCAGTGAGTCTTTGAACTCCACCGAACGATCCTGGATCACTTGGGTCATAATAAATATCACTTAAAATTTTTTCAAACTGCTCCATAATTTTAACCTTCCACCTCCTTGTAACTTTTTAAGATCTTCTTGTACCTCTTCATTCTTTATATCGATTTTTTGCACTTTTTCTGGGTTACTTTGTAAATATTTCAAGACAACATTATAACCCAAAGGTTTTCTAGCTTTTTTTATTCTAGGTGTTTGCATATATGTTTTAATATCTTTTATGTTACTAGATGGGATAACCTCACCCGCAGAGTTTTCTATCTCTCCTTTTGAGTTTATTATTGAACTGAACTCAGAGCTAGGCATAGGTGTTGAGCTTAAGTCAGAACTTGACATAGGTGTCGATGAAAACGTTGGTGTGAATTTTGTTGATTCTTCTTTCATAGTTTGTGAATTGATTGACAATCCACCTTCAGTTTTATCTTCTTTATTAGAAACACTTGATTGATTTAGCTGAGGATCGATAGATCTATTTTTTTTCTGCTTGCGTATTCTATTATCGATAACCTTATTTATTAAATCCTGTTTGGAATGGTTATGTAAACTCTGATCTAAAGCTTTAGATAAATCATATCTTTTCAAACTTTTAAGCAAAGAATATTCATCAAGAGTTATCAATACCATTTTCGTTAGATGATTCATTTCGATTTTTGTAAAAACAAAGAGGCTAAAAATGTTAAGGCGGGCACTAGAATTGTACTCAAAGCGCCTCCTTGTTGAATGATAAGTTTCTTACGTGTTGCGAGAGATATTTTTTTTTGTGATAGTTTACGCAATAGATCTTTATGTTTTTTTAGCTTATTTAAATTTGATGAACTGAGAGGAATAACACCATTAATAATATTACGACAGATTTCACAGATAGCATAAAAAACTCTGTTTGAACATTGGTTAATAATTTTCAATTTTTTATTAGTATTTACACTTTTCTTAATGATTTCAAGCTCAGGAAGGCATTCTAATACACCTTTTAATGTCATTTTTTATAAATAAATAATACAATTAAATGACTTTATATAGAGTAAACATATATTGGAGTTGACCATATATTTGTAAGCAACCTTATTTCATCAGGTGTGTCTGGCTTCAAGTCTATCAATAGGTAAGAATACGGCTCTTTAGTAGCGTCTATAAAAATATTTTGAAATTTTTTAATAGCATCAGGATACATTTGTCTAGCAATATGCATGGATAAACTTTTATCTCTTGGATTCTTAAAAAGTACCAAGTAATGCGAATTCAAAGTTATATTTCGCATCTCACGTGTTTTATTAAAAAAATTTTGTACCAATAAAATTACTGATAAATTCCTGTGATGACTACCTTTTGTAAAAAGATCAGCTATGATATTACTGCTTGTTGCTTCATCCATCAGATCATCAATTATTATCCAAGTTGGAACATTCCCGTTTTGAATTTTTTTGAGATGATCGATAGGTAACCCTTGGATGAAATTTACTGCAGGTAATTCAGAAAACATTGCTTGATATTCACCATAAAAATAATATATTTGTTCTGGGGGAGGGTATGAAGATGATTTTGATGTTGCTATTAGTTTTTTGATCCACATAGTTTTTCCAGATCCAGTTGGTCCGGATAAAACCATTGTGAAAGGATGCTTTAAGTAAACTTTATAAATCATTACATATGTTTTGTAGTTAAAATATTTATTGAACGATTATATAGCTTTTCTTTATATAGAAGTCTTCTTAGTCAGTAAGCGTACATGTATTCATGCGTACAATAATAATTGAATACCTTCTTCAATCAACCCGTTTTCTTTTTTCTAATTGTACCCAAGTATTACCTTGGGTATCAATCGCTGAGGCAGTAACGACACTGGTTGCTGGATTCTCAACTGCTTTTTTCATGATTTCGATCACCTCTTTATGTAGGGTTATAACCATTGTAGTTAAATTCATAATCATCTTAGCCATGATGTTGGTTTTAGTGTGTTGTTCCACAACCCCTAACAGAATATCATCACAACGTTCTTCAACCGTATCTGCAATCCTGTAACATGTTGCCCCAATGCCCTGCAACATTGCTCCGACTCGAATGCCATCCAGGCTAATATTTGAGACAAGAGATTGTCGATCTGGAGTTTTACCATTCCGACAATCATCACAACACTCAAAATATAGTTGTGAAGTATCAGGGACAGATGTTGCAGCATGCTTTTTAATAAAACAAACTTTTTTATCGTTGACTATATCATTTTCTGATGTTGAATCGTTCATAATTGTATTCACTTGATACTTTAGTCACGAAGATCAAAAACTTAATGATGGTTAACATCCAACTTACTAGTCTTTTTATACTTGATCATATTCATTAAATGACCTTCCTTCCAAGGTTAGTTAGAGGTCAAAGATTGCAATAACCTTTGAAAACCTTGACCGTTGCACCCTAAGCATTAATATTAGAAAGAATTAGTTTAACTTTAGAGAAAGATGGATCTTTTCTGTATTCATGGATATATTGGATTTGAAATGCTGTAAAATTCTCAAGATGTATTATTATTTTCTTAGATTTCTTTTCATTTTTTAGTACATTGGCAAATATTTCATCAATTTCTTTGAATTTGTCTTTCTCTTCACACAGGAAGACGTACTCACTTTTCTCATTTCTCTTAAAAAATTTCATCTCCGAAAAGGTAAAACATCTTCCAATAACTCTTTATATAAAATATTTATGTCTTCAATATTTTTCAAACCTGTCATAATAATTTTTCTTGAACGAAATATTATAACTAACGATTTTTCATTAGTTTTTTTCCTCCAATAGATACCAGGAAAAAGTTCAGGCTCCCAAGAAAAGTCATTAGATCTCAACATAGTATTAAAATCCAACTCAAAGTCGATTTTCCCTTTAGCTGTTATATTCGTGATAACGCATTTCTTTATTTCATCGACCCCAACTAAGTCTATAACAACCTTTTCCGCTTGAATTGGATCAGTCACTCCTGTAACTACAATTTTTCTACCTTTGAAAACCAAAATCCTAGCTTTACCTCGACTCAAGATTGCACCACTGAAACGTTTTGGGTTATAAAAGTCATAAATAGTTGGATCAAGAGGATTTTTAGTTATAAAAAGAAAAGATATGTTCACAATTTCCATGGCAGTTCTTTGTTTTTTTCTTTTCGCCTTAATATTATTGTGTTTTTATCACTTGTTAATGTCAGCACTAGACTTTGATAATACAATATCATTAGCATAAATTATTCAATATAATCTGCTTACTAAGCATGTGTGGGAGTCTTCATTCATCTCCCTCACATTATCTCCGCCTCTATTGGATATAAATTCAGCCGAACAACAAAAGATTTCTTATTATATCTGAAAGTGTCAACCATAACAGTTCATCGATATTCACCTACAACAGTGCATCGAATAAACAACGAAAGAGTCTAAAATGAGTGACAATACTAAACATGCTTATGAATCTGACTCTGACGATGAGGAGAAGGCTGTCAAAAAAACTAAATGTGATTGGAATGAAATTTTTACATTGAAAATTTCACCATTTTATGGATTTTATCTATCGGTAACAAATGGAAAACAAGACAAGGACAAGATGATACTTTTTGCTAATCTGCGAAACAGTTCTAGCAGTTTCGGTGCTACTAAAGGAATTTTACTTGGAATCGATGAAATCCGACATCTTGCACAAAACCTAGATTTGCAAACGGATTTACCTCGCTTCAAGAGTACTAATATCAGACTTTAAGGAACTATGTACAATGGAAAATTCGAACTACAACGTACGAAGTCAGGAAACACATTGAAGATAAAAATTCCATTTACTGTCTTGTGTGCCCTGAAACGAATTTTACCTGCCCTTCTACATTATATGGAAGTGATTTCTTTGATTGATAAGGAAGATATGTTGCGTGAAGCAGTGAAAGCAACTCTCAAGAAATCTGTCTGGGTTTACATGGAAAAAATTGGAAAGCAAGATCCTGAAAAAGCGTTTGATGTACTTTGCTATTTATGCTCAATCTTTGATATACCTATACAAGAAAATCCTTACCCATTGGTTGAAAATATCGAGATTGTTCCCGAAACATTGGAAAAGAATTTGAAATTAATTCAAATGCTCATTCCTAGAAGATTTGGATGAAAACCTGACAATGTCTATTTTTTATCTCAATATATGCGATAAAGTATTTAAACTGGTATTTATTTATTATCATTAACTTTATTAATATAATAATTTATTATTATTATTATTATTTCAATAAAAATTGTTTTACATAAAATATGATACTAATTTTCATGAGTTGTTTGATAATGTCCGAATGCGTGAGTGTCAACGTTGTCGATAGCCCAACGCTTATCATCCAATGGACTTAATGATATTTTTTCAGTTGCGATAGCTTTAATTTTATGGTTTTTACTTTGTAACCGATGATTCGTGTGTTTATATAACTTTTCATCGTACAAACAATTTAGATAGTCATCTTGGAGTATTTGTGATTTTACTACATGCTTTTGTACTCCTTTTGCTGTTTTGCGTTCACTGTTTACAGATCTTATCAAATACATTTTAGATTTGAGGGCTATTATTTCTATGATTGGATCTCCATTAGTTTCATCTTTCAGGTAGCCTAACTTTTTTTTATTCTCTTCACTATGGAGCGAATGATTTTTAGGGTAATCACAAAAATCCATAATATTAGCGAAATATTTAAAATCATTGTATAGATTCTCCGTTTTTATATGATAAATAAAACTATCAGTATCAGTGTAAACTAAACTTAAATTGCGTCCGTAATATGCTTTGAAAGTATCATAATGTAATTGGTACATATACAATTTAGCAAATTCTAACACAGAGAATCCGACGGCTATTGGTTTGTCCAAAATAACTTTTGATTTCCGTAGTTTAGCAATCGCTCGATTCTCATCCAAAATGCAGAATTGATCAAAAAGAGGTTCTCTTGTAGCTTTGAATACAGCTTTTCTATCGGCTAAAAATTTGACTTCACAATGTTTCCGTTTATTTTCGATGCTTTTACCATAAAGAGAATTTATCATTAATTTCCAAAAGTCTTTTTCAAAAGCATTGTTTGCTTGCTGTCTCTTTTCTGTGCATAGCATAATGTATGGTTTTAACCATGGCTTCTCTTCAAATTGTAATATTCTGTGGATTTTCTTCAATAATAATCCTTTTGACATGTAATATCGCAGATTCCTATAATGTGTAACATATTTAATCTTGTTAAAAAGATTCGGAATAAGTTTAGGAGACATAAGTCTTTTATTCCCACAGCTTTCTAGCTTCTTTACCAATTTTGTTTGATAGTCACTTAATTGATTTTCACAAATTGATATTGTTTCTGGTGCAAGGGGATAATCATCATGCCAATCATGTAGTTCTTTTGGGTAATCGAGATCGACTTCGATAATATAACCATGTTTTGTTTTATCACTTGTAATTTCATTCAGAACACTCTGGTATTCACTTTTTTCAACCCATTTAAAGGATCCATATGGTAGATTTTGAACCAACGAATATCCATACAAGTTGTTGACATCAAGATATGTGATGAATGAATTAGGCTCTTCTTCATTATACTCAGGACAGAGTGGATTATTTGCAACAGCGTGTCTTTTCATTGCAGAAGAAATTCCTCCTCTAATACCTTTCTCTATCATTAATACCATATCTATATCATTTATGTGATCAATTTCTGCTTCTGTAAATTTGATTGCTGCTGCCCAAGTCAAACCAGGAGTCGACCAAAAATGTGTAGGATCTAACCCAAATTCTCTCAAACTCATACTTCTAAAATTCTCGAAAATTGCTGTTAAAAGGGCAACGTCAAGTTGTAAGTATATATCATGAAAATCTCCAAGGTTTTTACATTCAAAATCTGCCCATATCTGTTGTAATCGCAAGTAAATCTCTTCTGAAATATTTTTACCTGTTAAAGTTGAGTTGAAAGCATCGATAGGAGGTAAACAATCATCTTCAAATTTATCCCAGGTATCTAAATATTCGTAAGGTAAGCTTGCTTTTTCTAATAACAACGAATGATCTCTATTAGGAATTATTTGAGAGAGAAAATATAATTTATCATCTTTTGTAAGGTTGGCAGCTAAAGAATCCAAACTCGCAGGCAGAAAAGCAAACGAATCAATGAAAGTAAATTGATCCATCGAAAACCCAATATATTTTTCTATAGTTTGAGGAATAAATGTAATTCTTTTGAACATTTCTTTTTTCAAGGCTGCTATTATTAAATGACCGTCGAAGTTTTTGAGATTATGAAAAACTATAGGTATTTTGTAGTTCCATTTCCATTTTAAATTACATTCTTGATGAGCTGCACCTCGAAATTCTCCTGAAAGATGATCATGATCACGTACTTTTATGTCATCATCAGTAAAGCTTTGTTTACAGATATGACATTGTCGTGAAAGAAAAAAAATTGTTTCTTGTTCGTTGTTCATTGATAGAGGTTTTTCAGATTTCCAATAAAGTTCATTGAGATGGAATTTCGCTGTTATTATTGATTGAATAAAGCGGGTCGCAGCATCTTGTCCTCTGTATAATAATTTATCTATAACTTGTCCTTTCCAATCAACTATTACTAACCCAAATGAACAGATATTATGTTCTTGATATTCAAATGAAGTATTGGTAATATGTTTATCAACTTTAGATGCAAGCGTTTCGAAGTCAGCATAGATGACAAAAGGTTGTTTAAACATCTTTTCATATGACTCGAATTTGATTTTGCGACCCTCTTCTGGTAAGATAACTTTTTGTGGGGATTTCGTTGCACAGTAAGGTTCATGTAATCTCAATTGTTTAACACCGTTGAATCCTGATAAACAACGCAAACATCGTTTCAATTGGTAACCTGATCTATTCAACAATCGGTTAAAATTTTTGATGAAGAAATAATGATCTTCATAGAGCAACAGGTTAACATGCTTTTGTTTGATTTGGTCATTTATTTGTAATGGTATGACAGTCTTCTTATTTATAGCTAATGAGTATATATTTACCGATACATTGTTTTTATTTTCAAATTGGCGAATAGCATTTAATGGAACATATCCACGAACCATGCTGAAATCATAATCACCGATATGTTCTGCATAAACATTTTTCCTTGATCCATTCTTTGACTTCGTGTGTAAAGCTGCAAGTATGCTATACATGAAACAATCTGTATTTGTATTTATGTTTAAGATTGCTTTCTTGTTTGTAATTCTTGTTGGTAGTTTACAATGCAAACATCCTCCATGATGTGGTTCAAATTTCGCAATCCTGATCTCCAGTGCTTTTATGGATTTCATTGTCCATCCGCTTCCTTCATTAGTGAGCTGATCAATCCATGCATCTAATTCTTCTTTTGTTTCAAGAAGTGATGGATCTATAGCTTCAGGTGAGCAAAGTTTCTTCATTGCTGAGAAAATGTAGATTATTTTATTATCTTTTCCACTAGAATCAATAGCTGGTCTTTCTACATCAACCCAACACCCAATACGGTATTTGCAGCAATTCAGTTCTAGTAGGAGTGAGTTGAATAAGGATTTGAAATTCGCATTTTCGGATGTGTAAAGAGATTGAATATCTAAAAATGATATATCAGGTAAATAATAAACAGCCAATATTCCATCGAAGGCACTTTTAATCAATTTAAATCTATCATGTTGTACTAGTTGAGGAATAGGTTCTTCTGCACATTCTTTTATATGTTTTTGAAAATTACTCAATTTTCTATATCTTGTAGAACATTTATCACACTTATATGTCACGTTACATTTATGTTCTTTATCAATGATATCAATTCCACAATACTTGCAAAGAGTCATTTTTGAAATGAAAATTTGTTTCAATTTTATTCTATTTATATTAAATTGTATTAACACGGTCGTTGAACCTATCCACGCCTACATCCATAATCAAGGACCCTTCTTTGAACCACCACCGTGTAATAGGTTGTGGTGTCATTTCATAATTTAGACATGTCATAGTTTGTGACATCTTCTGCATGTAAACTCCTTGTGCTAAGTATTTAATATACTCCGGATAAAAAATCATTTTTTGACCATCAATCTCAAAGTTGAGATTTCCTGAATCTTCCTTTGTAATTTGGATAGATTTTTTGCTTGGTAATATTGTGAAGAATTTTGATTCATCTCTCAAATATTCAATAAAGAAATCTCTTATTGCTAAAAAATCTATAGTGTTGAAATACATCGTACCACTATATCTAGAATTGTTCTTAGCAGATAATGTAAGCATTATTTTTGCAAACCACCGATTTGAATTCTGTGATGTAGATGCTTCAATCGAAAGATGATACGTATCTGTGTTCGTCAAATGAAATGTTGAAATAGGAAATGTATACGTTTCACTGTCATCATCATTGATAATATCTTGATTATCTTTCCAAGAAAGGATATTATTTTCATGAATACCCTCGAAAGGAAAGTTACATTTACGTAGAACCTTAGCAAATTTATCTTTGAAAGAGCTTTCACGAATAATCGATAGTAAGTCACTAGGCCATGAGAAGTGTGCGTTACGATACCTAATGTCCAGAGTTCCACTTTTCGTAAGTACATATGTAAATTCTTTATGATTATATTTTATTTCAGTTTCAGTTTTCAACTTTTTCCTTATTTCATTAAATAATTTGAAAGGAATCTTAGATGTCATTTCAACACCTTCAACGCTGTAAATTATCTGGATGTAAAATTTCCAAAACTTAGCACTTGTTAATTTTCCTTGCAAATATATGATATAGTGAACACCTTTAACCGATTCGGTATGTTCAGCTAGGTTAAGTGTATTACTCATTTTAATTTTGATTAAGATTAACTTAATTAAGACTTTTTGATAAACTCGATTAAGACTTTTCACAATTTTTGAATAAAGATATAAATTAGATAGAAAGTATGTGCTTTATATAGATTTTGAAATAATTTGCTAAGTTTAATGTTTAATATTTTCAAATTCAGCGCTTAATTTCTCAGTAGTAACCAATTTATTCTTTAAAGTAACCAATTCAATAACCGGTTTCGCGATTGAGCCAGTAATGGGTTATTTATACTACTAATATCGTATATGCTTGTATAATCTCGTTCTCAGTGAAATAAACTGATTAAGCTGGAATTTTTATATCAATATCTGAAATTGTGCAACTAATCAATAGCAACTTTTCAATTTTTAATTTCAGACGTTTGGCTATTCATAATCTATTCAAAATCAGCATCTCATGATTGATGAGAAATAACAGGCTTGATACAAAAACAGGAGCGACATATCATAAAAGTGGTGGATGTAGTGGAAAAAAGTGTTTTATTTATCTATGATTGATGTAAACTCATTCTGAATTTCGCATTGCCTACTGTGATCTGATAAAAATTGCTCAATTGTGGGTGATTATGAAAGCCGTGCAAGTTCAATGGTACTTAAACCAGAAATACTAGATAATAATTTACTCTATGCTGAGCATCATGATCAGGAGTGGCACAAACAAGCTCATTCACAGGTGTTGTCTTCTTTGACAAATAAATCAGTAGCAAAACATAACTACATCGTACTGTATAAGAAACATCACTCGAGTTTCATTGTCGTTTAAACTAATTTCTTATTTTGTGCTTGATTAACTGTAGTCAATTTAAATTATCAAAATGGTCCTCGAACTGTACCAATTACCCATGTCTGCTCCTTGCCGACAAGTAATGATGGTTGGTAAAATCCTCAACCTTTCTTTTGATACCAAACCACTTTATCTGATGAAAGGCGAACACTTGCAACCCGAATTTCTGAAGATCAACCCTTTCCATTGTATCCCAACCTTGGTCGATGATGGATTTGCTTTGTGGGAAAGGTGAGATACATGTATGATGACCTAAGTTCATGGAATACAACTAAATGTCAATTTTTATGCTGGATACATTACAGTGTAACCAATTGCTTCTAATACAGTGCTAGGTTATTTTCATAAATTTTAATTACTTCTTTCTCTATCTTCCACTGTATAGTCGGGCGATCATGACTTATTTGGTTAATAAGTATGCACCTGAAAGTAGTCTTTATCCCAAAGATGTGAAAGCTCGTGCAACTGTCGAACGATGGCTTTACTGGGACACTGGTTCACTCTATGCAACACTTTTCTCGTACTATTTTCCTATTATCCAAGGAATCAAACCAGATCCAGCAATCGCTACACTTTTCATGGATAAAGTCCAGTTTCTTGATGAGGCCCTTGCAAACACCAAGTACTTGTGCGGAGACACCGTTACTTTGGCCGATCTTTCTGTTTTGTCTACCATAACAGCTGCTAAAGGTGCAGACCTTGATCTCAGTACATTTAAAAATGTTGATCGTTGGTTGAAGGAACTGGAATCTAACTATGCTAGTTGGTGGAAAGAGTTGGTCACTGACCCTGTTGAAGAAGCGCAAGGTTTCCTTCGAGCTAGACTTGCTTAGAACTCTGTTTGCATTGCATCCTTAATCGGGTCCGGGTTTGGCAATCAAAAGATTTACTCAATTTTCATAATCATAATAAACATCCCAGATAAATCATATCAGCTAAATTGTCAGTAATAACTTTGGTTTAGCTTTAACTGGCATTGTGAGCGAACAGGCCCAAATCAAACGTCATCTACACCTTTGAAAAGTTTAACAGACTCTGGACTTGAATTTTATAATTAAATTTCGAAACAGTTGATCTATTGAGCTGAAATTGAAGCTTAAATTATTTCTTTTCATTTATGGGCTTCTCATAACGAGTAGTTTGCTTCAAACCAGATTGGTTTGGTAAACCAGTAACTGTGGTTACTTGTTTTGTCCACCAAATTTGAAAAATAACATGTTTCATGTTTTTGCATTTCCAACGCTTGGATTATCAAAACTTGACTATTTAATGATTAACACAAATGCAAAATGAAATATATTCTTAAAATAATTATGCTTTAGCAATAAGCCTAATCTAACCTAATCTAATTTAAAAATAAATAATAATTGCCTTTGCTTTTAACAGCTCCATGACCATAAACATAAACACAAAGAGAGGGAAGATGTAAGTTAATGATTTTCATTTTCTCTCGTCATGAGTTTTCTTCTTAATAGACAACCATGTAAATTATTTAATGATACATAATTTGATCAAAAATGCCTTTTTTCACACTTGTCTGTATCTCATCTCAACCAGCTAAGACAATTAATTTTCTTAAAAAAATGAATATTTTTGCGAACGAGTAAAATTAATAAGCTGTAATGTGAATGTTTTATCAAGTGTTTATTGATACTTTTTGTTTACAAACTCTTGCAATTTTCCCAAGTAAATTGTGTAGAAAAACGATTTGCATTGTATATTGAATTTATATTGTCTCTGTCCAAAATTATAAGCATCATTGGGATAGAAAGAAACGTAATCATTGAGTTAAATTGAATACAATAGATTAGTAACTCGTATAACAATTTGCGGATGAATAATGAAAGATGTTAGTTTTATAATGACACTTTTAAAGTGAATTAACTCGTCCAAGAAATAAAATAGCATCAGTCTTAAGATCTCGTATTAAAAAGATGAATGGTCGATCAATTATTATTCTTGGAGACCGTTTTCGTGTACCAATCTCAGCTACAGTAGCACCAGCAGCAAGAGTACCTTCTTCTGTGACTTGGAGGACAGTTTTATGTTTAGCTTCCTTCACAAATAGCTCTTTTGAGTTTCCCATTTTTGAGAGATCAGCTTTTTTAGGTGAAAATGCAGCTTTCATTCCAAGATATTCTAATGGTTTCAGTAAATCATATGAACCAGATAAACTAAATCTTGGTAATCCGAGTTCAACAGTATTTTCTTGCAATTGACTTATTAATTCGTACATAAGTTGTGATCCAAGTGCAGCTTCCAATGGTTTTAAATCAGTTCCATTTGTTGGTGTTATAACCAAGAAACTAATTGATCCACCAGAGTATAATTTTTCAACAACACAAGCTTGAACATTAACATAATCACAATGATAATTGATTGATGATATTGATCTCATCATAGGAATGATAGATTTTGTTTGATCAAAATTTCGGAAAACAGCTTGTTCATTTGTTAATGCTTGGTTAAATGGAGCTGACCAGACACCTTTGAAGTAGATAACATTTATCAAAAGTAATCGAGTTAACGGGTCTAATGAATCTAAAAGATTTGGAATTAATCCTTGTGTCCACCATGATACTAATTCATTTGCCCATTTCACTACATAAGTCGGTTCAGTAGAGAATCCAACCTTTTCCAGATATGCATTGTAATAAGTACGGACTTTGTCAACATATGAAGTTGATACATTATAATCTTTGTCAATGAAAATGGCATTTAGCAGTTTCAGGCTGTTCTTTTTACCCACATCGTTAAGCAAAGAATGGAGTACATCTCGAAAAGCAGTTTGTATCTGAGCTTCAGTCATTGTTCGTAGTTGTAAAAGAGAAATCATTTCATCTTCGGTTGAAGCAGATGAACCAGCATAAACGGTAACCAATGTCGAGAATAGACTTAATGGAGAAATGAGAATATTTTCATTTCCATGAAATTTGTTTAAGGCTTTAAATAGCTTGAATCCAAATTGGTTGTTCGAGGCTACTATGTTTGACACATTTTGAGATAGTTCATCGGATAATTTCGGGAATTTCGGTGGCGATTTTGGCCCTTCTTCAAGTGGTGGCGTTGCTTGAGTTGATGGTGATGGTTCTTGAGGATGTTGGCCATCCAGTGCATCATTTATATCGTTCGTTTGAATACTTGTGGAGTGAGTGTTTAATGTCGCGATAGTTACTGGAGTACTTGAAGATGGCAGTCTGTTTTCGCTTGTTGAATCTGCCAATTGATTCGAGAATGTTTGATTAGCGTTTGATCCAATCCCAGAACGGTTTGTATTTCCACAATTAACAGTATATAAACACAAAGATAAAATCACAACTGACATCAATTTACTGGACCAGATCATGGTGATTTTTTAAGATAGTTAGTTTTTGCCGCAAGTTAATCAGAATAGATAATATCTATAATACTAAAGATGATTGCAGTTATTTGTTCTTAACTCAAGACTGATGAGCTCTTTACTGACCATTCACCCATAACTCGTCTGGTAAAGCTGAATGAAGCACTGTTGGTCTCTAGAAGCAAAATATAAAAATGGAAAAGAAAATAATTTTGTTAGAATTTTGATTATCAGTTGTTGAATATCAAATTTTGTCGTAATCTACATTATTCAACAGTGTTTTGGTGTACAATACATGATAGTTTAAAATGTGTTCAGTTTCTTACAATATCTTAGCAGTTTCTTGGTTTGTTTTTTGATTTTGAGAGATATGAAAATCCGTAGGATGATGGTGAAGGCGATTTTGGTAATGATGAATTAAAAAAGAGAGACAAATCAGAGTTTGCAGATAACTTTAATCCTTCAGCTATATTTGAGGCATTTTCAGAGCTTCCACAGCTTCAAGTATTTATTTTTGTCACTGATTAAGGGTTTGAACAGAATATTTTAAACTATGAAATGACTAACCATGAATTATAACTCATGAAGGAAATAAAAAAGGAGAAGGAGGAAGATTATATAGTAATGATGATAATGATGATGAAGATGATGACTGTTAGGTTATTGACGGTGCTTGTTACTTGCTATCACAATGATATGGGACCAAAGAGACACACAAAAAGGGAAAAATATGGCGTTAGGATGAAAATTTTGTGTGATTTTAAAGGATGTAAACAAATTAACAGCAGAGTATCGATGGTATATTGAACATTGAACATCCTTTTGTTTTCCACAATAACTTATGTCTCATCCTTTTGTCAAGGTTTTTCCGTTGCCAAAATGAAAGCCCAAATATCCGGTTATTTTTAATCTGTAGTCACCAAAAAGACCAAAAATGGTTAGAAAAATGAAAATGAGAAGCAATTCGGAGGAAGTTGATAAAGTACAAGAGGAAAATAGATTGAAACGAATGAGAAAATACAATCTCTTTAAGAAGAGGCATTGTTTTTGACATTGTTTTGTTTTCAAGATTCAATTTATCAATATATTTATTGCTTTTTACTTACTATCATGGATATTCGTATTATTGTTTCAACCAAGACTAGAAATTATGAGTCAAAAATGTTTGCCAATCCCAACACTTGACTCTTTAACCAGCGCTCCGGACCAGCTTTGCTTGAATATCCATTTTTACCAAAATAGACGCATAATCTTTTTTTATACATCAATCAAGATAATTGAAAATTGGTAGAGAAATGGACTGTTCAACTGATTATATTTTAAGCATTAAACAGCTATTAGCGAAGATAGTTATAACTCCAGTACTAACAAGTAGTAGTTGTAAGTAGCCAAAACTCGAAACCTTTAACCCCTAACTGGTGTTTAATATCAGCTCAACAATTATGATCCAATGGTGGTGAAGTGTTGTTTGTAGCTTGAAAATTCCGAATGTAATTTGATTCCCATTTTTACAGCAGCTTAACATCCATTAGTGATTGATATAAGTAATACTAATTTGCTTTGCTTTTAACAGCTCCACGACCATAAACATAAACACAAAGAGAGGGAAGATGTAAGTTAATGATTTTCATTTTCTCTCGTCATGAGTTTTCTTCTTTTTAGACAACCATGTAAATTATTCAATGATACATAATTTGATCAAAAATGCCTCTTTTCACACTTGTCTGTATCTCAACTGACAGCATCAAGCATCATTGGAGCTAATGCAAAATATGGAATAACGAATTCAACAAGTTAGTATCGATGGAATCATGAATAATTTTATTCATGTTGTTTCAAGTGAAGAGTTACTGATAACTGATAAAAATATAAAACAAGAAACTTGTAACTAGAAAACAAAGAAAACATTTTAAACAAAACAATTGGAAATAAAGAATGACTAAATGGCTCGCATTACAGATGATTGCATTTGAACAGAGTCATTAGCTAAAAGCGCGGTATTTAATACAACTCTTTGTTTATTAAGAAAATAAAAGCTATCTCATTGTTCAAAGCTATTACAACCAAAAAAGACAATCAATTTTCTTAAAATTATTGAATATTTTTGCGAACGAGTAAAATTAATAAGCTGTAATGTGAATGTTTTATCAAGTGTTTATTGATACTTTTTGTTTACAAACTCTTGCAATTTTCCCAGGTAAATTGTATAGAAAAACGATTTGCATTGTATATTGAATTTATATTGTTTCTGTCCGAAATTATAAGCATCATTGGGATAGAAAGAAACGTAATCATTGAGTTAAATTGAAATACAATAGATTAGTTACTAGTATAACAATTTAAATCGATATTGTATGAATATTTTTGATATTCAATGCTTTTTTGCTAAAAAATATATTTCATATTTTCGTAACATGCGGATGAATAATGAAAGATGTTAGTTATATAATGACACTTTTAAAGTGAATTAACTCGTCCAAGAAATAAGATAGCATCAGTCTTAAGATCTCGTATTAAAAAGATGAATGGTCGATCAATTATTATTCTTGGAGATCGTTTTCGTGTACCGATTTCTGCTACAGTAGCACCAGCAGCAAGAGTACCTTCTTCTGTGACTTGGAGGACAGTTTTATGCTTAGCTTCCTTCACAAATAACTCTTTTGAGTTTCCCATTTTTGAGAGATCAGCTTTTTTAGGTGAAAATGCAGCTTTCATTCCAAGATATTCTAATGGTTTGAGTAAATCATATGAACCAGATAAACTAAATCTTGGTAATCCGAGTTCAACAGTATTTTCTTGCAATTGACTTATTAATTCGTACATAAGTTGTGATCCAAGTGCGGCTTCCAATGGTTTTAAATCAGTTCCATTTGTTGGTGTAATAACCAAGAAACTAATGGACCCACCAGAGTATAATTTTTCAACAACACAAGCTTGAACATTAACATAATCACAATGATAATTGATTGATGATATTGATCTCATCATAGGAATGATAGATTTTGTTTGATCAAAATTTCGGAAAACAGCTTGTTCATTTGTTAATGCTTGGTTAAATGGAGCTGACCAGACACCTTTGAAGTAGATAACATTTATCAAAAGTAATCGAGTTAACGGGTCTAATGAATCTAAAAGATTTGGAATTAATCCTTGTGTCCACCATGATACCAGTTCATTTGCCCATTTCACTACATAAGTCGGTTCAGTAGAGAATCCAACCTTTTCCAGATATGCATTGTAATAAGTACGGACTTTGTCAACATATGAAGTCGATACATTATAATCTTTGTCGATGAAAATGGCATTTAGCAGTTTCAGGCTGTTCTTTTTGCCCACATCGTTAAGCAAAGAATGGAGTACATCTCGAAAAGCAGTTTGTATTTGAGCTTCAGTCATTGTTCGTAATTGTAAAAGAGAAATCATTTCATCTTCGGTTGAAGCAGATGAACCAGCATAAACGGTAACCAATGTCGAGAATAAACTTAATGGAGAAATGAGAATATTTTCATTTCCATGAAATTTGTTTAATGCTTTAAATAGCTTGAATCCAAATTGGTTGTTCGAGGCTACAATGTTTAACATATCCTTCGATAACGAATCAGATGTTCCTGGAAATTTTGGTGGAGAAGGTTGTTTCGACGTTTCTGAATTCCATGATGAGGGTGAATTAGTAGTGGTTGATGGTTCTTGTGATGAAAGATGACACGTAGGGCTTGTAGGAATTGGATCAATATTATCAGCACTTATGCTTCTATGTCTAGAGTTTATCAGCCTTCCATTTATTGGATTGAATGAATAAGTCAATTTATCTTCATAAATTTGATAAGTTGAACGTCCAGATAGTGGGTCATTTGATTTTCTGACTCCAAATCGATTTGTGAATCCACAATTAACAATATATAAACACATAGAAAAAAACACGACTGACTTCAAAGTCAATCCACTGGGCCGAATCATTTTGAATGTTATTTCTCGCACAGATGAAAATAAACTAATATTTTAAAACAAAAATTGCGTTTATTTGTTAACAGCTCAGGACAGCTAAACTCATTGCTGATCAATCGTCCATAACTTTATTTGATAAGACATAACTCGTTTGGGTAAAGCTGGTTGAGACACTGATTAATTTAAGTTGGATGGCTTTGTATGTAAACTCTGTAAAAGAAAAAGAAAAAAGTTGAAATGTTGTTCATCAGTTGTAAAATATCAATGTTAATCATCTATTTTAGATAATCCAATGACAGCAATACACGAGTGTTTCACTATATGAAGGTTAAATTGAAATCTCTTGCTGATCAGGAAACACTACATTGGAGGTTTAAAAACAATGAAAAAGTTTTATTGGATATCCTCAAATCAATCAATTTTGATTGAAATATTTAATGATGTATTGTTATTTTATCTCTGTTTGAATTGAATTTCTTACCAAATATTTTTCGTCTCTTGAATTTAACATGAAAATCCGTAGGATGATAGTGATGATGATATTGCTATAAAGCAAGAAAATAGATTCGGTACTTTTTCCTGTAGTCGGGGTAAACTCATTTATATTTGAGGCATTTTCAGAGCTTCCAGGGCTTTAAGTACGGATATTTTGTCACTGATTAGGGGTTTGATGTGATGAACAAGGTATGATGATACTACATGAAGTGACTAACCATGAATTATAACTTATAAAGGGAATAGAAAAAGAGAAGGAGGAAGATTAAATGGTGATGATAATGATGATGAAGATGATGATTGTTAGGTTATTGATGGTGGTTGTTACTTGTTATTACGATGGTATAAGACATAAGGCATAACCAGAATCATCCAAGAAGAGGTTGCAGTTGCCATTGCGGTTGGTTGGGTTAGTCCAGTTTTTCTTCATGATAGGATTGGGTTTCTTGTCAATTTCAATCACCAAATGAAATATATTGGCATAGAAATTAGTAGCTTATTTATAGTTTGATGCAACTTAGGTGTTAAGATGGACTCTATAAATAACAAATAATAATGTTGATTTCACCTTCACAGTTTACAGTAAACGAACAGACCAGTTACTGGACTTACTGAGATGGGTACTTTGCATCAATGCGTCAGATCAATCTTTGTTCAATTCAATGATTGTTGGTTGTAATAATTGTAATAAGTTGGAACGTGATTCGGAAACTTTTGTCTAGTTTTATATTCTTGAGCGATAAAAAAGGATTGAGCTGTAAGTATTGGTTACACAAAATACCGATACTATTGATATTAATTTGGAAGGAGTCAGTCGATATATCTGATGCTTCTGGCAACTTGCCTATGGCAAGGGTTTAATTATTAAGCGATGTTAGACAAGAATATGTAATTAATTGATTTCTTCGCTTTATTTTTTTCTATTTTTTATTTTAAATGTTTTCTTCACAGCGAGTAAGTTTTATAGTCCTTTTACATCAGTTTGGGTAATTTTCATTGAGATATTCACAGAAATCAGTCAAAATTAAGTAAGAGTTTCCTAAGAAAATGTGGGAATGCATTCAGCTGTTGAAATAACGGTTTAAAACAGGGATTAAAAAATAAAATATTGCACTTTGATTAAGTTATTTGTTATTTTGGGTTTTATGAATGAGATTTGATGAAAGGCACGATATTTCAGTTTATTAACAATTTAAATATCTTTTCGCACAAGTCAATCACTCTTGATTATTACACTAGATGGCTCTTTACTTTGAGATGGCGAGTTCAGGTTTGAATTTAAAAATGTTTGATCTTTCACTAAAAGTTTATAACAAAAAGCTCATTTAAAAACAAATTTAAATTTATCATTGAATTATTGATATTAGCAACCGGTGAATGGATAAAACAAATCAAATATTTTAGTTGAAAAGTGATTAGTAATTATTTCCGTTTCTTTTGACTAGCAAGTGCGTAAAATCATCTGAAATTAGTCAAACTTTGCAGTTGGACATGAATTGGCAGTTAATTGTTCATCATCTTTCATTTCCCGATTGTAACTTTGTAAAATACAAGTTGTTCATTAACTATTGTATTTTGATTCACCCAACAATAATGAATAGATTACTTCAATGTGAACCAATTTGAGACTCCAAACTGTTGCCATGGGTAAGATTGCCTAACTTAATACGTTATTGCTTGACGTGATTTTTTATACGCCGGTTTATGTAATGAATGAATATCGTTCAGAAAAGTAAATCAATACTGCTTATTTGAATAATATCCACAATACAGCTTAGAAAATTAAGATTTTTATTATCTTTGAATTAAAGTAATAGTCAAAGATTACGAAAGGTATTACAATGGTCATAAAAAAGACAAAATTATCTTTACTATTCAACGGTTTGTGATATCGGAACTTAATAAGGTTGCTTGTATAGGATGTCTTTTGATCAGAATTAACATTCAGTTCTTATCTTCCTAAATTAACAGAGAAATTAAATAGATCATTTGAATTTCTACCAGTCTGTGGACGACCACCTGATCTTGATTGACTAAAGCTTGAGCTACCAGGACCACCAGAACTAAAGCTACTTATACTTTGATAATTACCTGAATGTAAGCCTGATTGGCTTCTGCTTGCTCCAGTTGCACCGTTGCTTGAGCCTGACCCTAGCCTGCTGTTTGGACTCGAGGAGTAACTTGAAACCATATGAGAGCCGTAACCCGAAGAGCTACTACTACTATAGCTGCTGCTACTCGAGCTTGATCCATGACTAGCACTGGTTCTTGGTCTTGAGCCAGCTGCTGATCCACTGACAGCTCTACTTTGTGCACTCGAACCACGACTATTACCAGAGGATGTTCTAGCTGAATTATTGTTTGTGTTACGATTGACGTTAGAGCTTGATGCATTGGTGATCTTTGAAGAGTCCCTTGAACCGTTACTTGAGCTACCATAATCATTTTGTGACCCTGAATGTGATCCTTTTGAATTACTTGATCTTGTTTCTGATACACCATTTAAATTACCACTTGATGAACTTGAGTCTGTTCCAAATCCGTCATCATATTCACCTGATGAACTCGAACCTGACTCATCTGAGCGACTCGAACTACTATAGCTTGTTCCAGATCTATTGTTAGTGGAGCCTGATTTTTTGTTTGATCTAGTTTTTCCTGCACTACCGACAGATTCACTTCGTGAACCAGCTGTGCCACTCTCATTGCTATCAAAGTTTTCTCCTGATCCTGATCCATAACCAGCTCTTTCATTTGAACTGGAACCAACACCAGTGGTTTCTATTTCACTATCTGAAGCACCGATTGAGTCCGAATCTGAACTTTTTCCTGCCTCTTGTTTTCTTCTCGAGCTTGAACGAGATTCCTCACTAAATCTTCTATTCGAGCTGCTTCCAGACCTTAAGTTTGAACCTGATCCATTACTTGATTGGTTTCTTATCCGTAAATTTTCTTCTGATTCATCATCGTCTTCCAATCCAGTGTTTGAATCAATTTCTTCAGTCTCTGTTTCATTATTTGTGATAGCTTTTGAATGTGAATTTGATCCAGAACTTGATTCAGTTCTATCCTCTTCTACTTTACTTCCCGAATTACCTCTATTGAGACTTGTTAAACCATTTCCAATTTTGAGTCCTGTAGTAATACCAAGGGCTCGACCTAAACCAATTCCTGCTCCGATGTTGATTCCATTTGATACTGCACCACTTTCACCACTATTGGCTCTACCGCCTCCTAAAAATGCTTTAGCGAACAAACTGTTACCAAAATTTTGTGACAGGGCTGTAGCGTGAGCTACCAGGGAAATTAGAAGTAACTGTTTGAACATAATGAATAAGGGATGAAATTGTCACAATAGCATCATTAAATAGTAACTTTGAATATTAGAGACAAATTACCACAAATGTATTGAATGTGTGAAATTTATATAAATTCTTGGAGACATCTGTTTACATGAAAACGCTTAGCTATCATTTGTACTTTAGCCTTAAGAGATCCATTTTGAATCAATTTTAGTTTGCAAGTTGAATCATGTATTTATTCACATTTTGTTAAGTAAAGATCACTTGATCAAGCATATTTATTAAATTGTTGCTTGTATCAACGAATGACAGCTAGCTTGTTAAAATATTCAAATAAATTCCAAGATCTCAAAAACTCAAAGCTGCTGAAAACAAAAGACGCAATAAGATACTGTATTTGATGGCTTTACTTTTTAAAATAATGGTTGATTATTGTAATTTAAAACCATAAAAACCCCCAAATTAACATCATTCTAAAAGTATTATCAATTAACGCAGTAACGTATCACCAGTAATAATAGATAATAGTAATAATTGATTGGCTAATTATTAAGATTAGACAAAGATTATTTTGTGCTTGATTAACTGTAGTCAATTTAAATTATCATAATGGTCCTCGAACTGTACCAATTACCCATGTCTGCTCCTTGGTCATCAGTCGATTTTTTCTTATTATCGCTATCATCTATGAAACAGTTACTATTTTGATCCATCATTATTCATTTGAACTTCCCAAATATGGTTTTTCATTAAAAGTGTTAATTATTTTCACCCTAGCATCAATCGCTCAATGTGGCTATGTTTTTTTCATGCAATTCATTATTGAATGCTGCATCTACTCACAATCGAGTTTAGTGCCTATGAAAAATTTACTTGATTCTTTAATAAAGGGTGTATTGTTTGCGAGTGCAATTATGGCAGCCAAAAGAGTAACATTTATCTAACTGATTGTGGTGATTATGGTGATAAAGATGTTGATAAATATTTTGCATTTTTCATCATTGTCCATTTTCACCTTTATCTTCATCTTATCAACATATTTATCGTCATAATCATCACAATCAGATAAGTAAATGTCCCTCTTTTGCTCTCATAATTGCACTCTTAAACAATACACCCTTTACATAAGAGGATCCAGTCATCAAACCATATGAATCAAATTGCTAAACCAATGCGCTTATACAATTCCGTCTTATTACAATTATTACAATTGTATTACAATAGAACAGTTGAATCTATTCGTCTTATGGACAAGTTTTTAACTTTTGCCATTTTCGTCTTTTATTTTTACTTTACTGGTCATTGTGTTCTTATTGTTGGTGAAATTTCGGGTGCTGATAGCTCAATCTATTTCACATTATGGTTGATCTTTAATTTGTTTTGTGAAATGTCTTACATTGTTTTAATAACTTATCATTTAGTTAGTGTAAATCAAAATTCAGCTCGTATCTTCGATAAAGTTTATCAAATTTCATTCTCCCTTAACTCATCCCATTCAATTCAGACTATGAATGAGGTAAGCCTCAACTAAGCCTCAGTTGATTGAACTTGCTCTAATATATACTTATTTTTCTGTAGATAAATTTACTTTCATTGCGAATCAATCGGAATGATGTTGGATTTACATTTGCTGGTCTTTGCATGGTTTCACCCAGTTTTATATCTTCACTAATTTCTATTTCATTGACTCTAGGCTTAGCTTTGCCAAGTTTTCTTAATGATAAATAATCAAACGGCATTCGCTTGTATAATCACGTTCTCAGTGGAATAAACTGATCAAGCTACAATTTTTTCTTCAATATTTGGAATTGTTTCAAATTGAAGTTTCAAATTTTGGTTAACTTGAATTAACATGTAAAGATGGTTGTGAGTCGAATTGAATCAATACAAGAAAAGAAAAGATTCTATTGCAATCAATCATTGCGAAGTTAACAGCAAATCGATTCCATCTTTAGATGATTACGATATTTCAATCATTTGTTATCCAACATTTCAAATGGACGATTTGAATCAAGTTACACCTTCACCACTTTCATCACCTCCAGCTCTTCGTAAGCGTATCCGCTTACTTATTCATCTCTTAATAACAACTTTAAGTGCTGTACAAATTTATTCAATTACGATTGATTATTTGTACGGAGAAATCACAAACAAAGTGAACTTAAGGTATCCAGATAAATTCATTTTACCCGATGTGTCTTTGTGTTTTCCATTCCTGGATCTTATCAATTTGACCAAAGCTGATCAGCAATTTGGAAACTTCAGTTCTATTCTGAGAAATAGGCCATTCTTCGAAGATTATTCAAGTCATAATGATGTTTACACAGAAATTTATTCCCTTCTAGGCAATTTAACAGCCAAAGAACTGAACGGACTGTTAAAGGATATTAAACATGCAGTTCCTGTGGTTAAATTGGCACCCACTCGCCGTCCTAATGATATAAGTATAGGCCCTCAACTGGTAAATGCTGATTCTTCTTGTGAAATAACTCATTTCATTCGCCAACCATCATTTTGTTTGACAATAAGATGTTTGAATGAAACAAAGCAGCCGCTTGAATATAAACGTGAACATATTTTTCAGCGACCTTACAATGGAGTAATGTTAAAGATCCAATTGAATCCGAATGTATCCATTATGGCGTCTACAGTTAACGTACTTTTCACTTCGCATAGCCATTTAACTCAGGGTAAGAAACAGTCAGCATTTCGGATCGGTTTCAATGAAAGTCCAGCAACTCATATAATCACTTACTCCAAAATAATCAACTTACTAATCCAAGACGATTATGAAATATCATGTTTTAACTATTCGTTGATTGGTTATTTGTCAAGAGATGATTATTTGGAGGCATGTTTAAACAATGCCTCTTCACAAGCCACTGGGGCAGTTTTTTACGGGACTGTACAGAATTTTAATGATACAAGTGATCACATGAGTGATTTTCATCAATTTTATCACGAATATTTAAATCCGAATGAAACTGAAAGAGAAAAAAAGAGACAATTTTACAAATTTTGCCGTGAATATTGTGCTAGGCAAGCAGATAAACCTGATTGCCATCAAGAAATACTTTACCCAGTTGCTTTCCGCAAGATCCTTCGATCAGATGGCATCTATGAGGTTCTAGTTAGAGCTCCGACAAGTCCATTTGAAATCAATCGATATTTCCCGGAATACACTTTACTCGATTTGTTGATTTACTTTGCTAGTAGTTTAAATTTCTGGTTTGGGTTATCTTTAGTTTCACTTTCAGAAAGGTTTTTAAATTTTTACTGTAATCTATTTAAGCGCAAAAAGGAGTCAAAAAGTCAGAAAAATAATTTGCCGATTAAATTGTCTAAACCTAAGGTAGCCAGTTCAAAACCAATGGAAGTTTTTGTTGTCCAAACCAGGAGACCGAGAGTGACCAAAATCAAAGATATTTCAAATGAACTACCAACTGTTTATTATTAAACTAGCTTGAGCGAACGGACTCAAATCAAACGTCATTTACACCTTTGAAAAGATCAACAGACTCTGAACTTGAATTTGCTTCAGTTTAACCAGTAACTGTGGTTACTTGTTTTGTCCACCAAATTTGAAAAATAACATGTTTCATGTTTTTGTTTTTCCATCGCTTGGATTATCAAAACTGAAATATTTAATGATAAATACAAATGCAAAAGGAAATATTTTATATTCTTAAAATAATTATGCATTATCGAACGTATTCAAACAAAATTACTTGGATTATTTTCAATTTTTAATTTTAACCAGATGTTCAACTATTCAACTTGCTGATTAAATTGACACCGTAAATCGAAATACAACTTATTTGTTGATTTGTTTTAGTTTGAGATGTACATTAACTGGTTTGTAAGTTAATATGAAATAATGTCGATGATACAAAAAGATGCAAAATAATGCAGGTCCGTTGAAGATGGTTGAAAGTAATGTCTGATCAGCTGGCAGCTTCTCACATGTTTGTGTTTTCAACATGAATTTTTTGGTGAGGCAATTAGAAAGAAAGTTTATCTGCAAATTATTGTCCTGTAATTCTAATTATTTGTCATGTCTTTCAAAATTAAATTGTTCAACAACAAACGACCCAAACTTAAATGGATTCCAGTTGAATTTATACAACCATTATACTCGAGATAAAGAACCAGTTGAAGTTGATGGTTCGCCGGTTACTTTTGCTTCCAACTCTAAACAATCGTCTAATAAATCTCTTGTTGGAACTGCGTATGTTTGTGGCCCAACTGTTTATGATTATTGTCACATTGGTCATGCCATGGCATACACTCGATTTGATATATTCAGGCGATTCCTTGGTGTTTATTCCAATATTGATCTAGGTATTAGATATTTCCAAATACTTACTCTTCCTTTCCCATTGATAACACGATTACTGATTCAATAATTTCGTTTCTATTTAGTCACTGCCATGGGAATCACTGATATAGATGAAAAAATACTGACCAGATCAAGTGAGGAAGGATTATCTTATAAAGCTATTGGTGATAAATATTTTGCTGCTTTTCTGGAAGATTTGAAAGCTTTAAATATTATTCCTGTAGATATTTTTGTCCGTATAACCGACCACATTGATGAAATAATTGACTACATTGCTCGACTCGAGTCAAAGGGATGTGCTTATATCAACACTGAAACTGGTGACATCAATTTCGACACATCAGCTGTCAAAGATTTTGACGTTAAAGCTGACCTCATAACTACAAAATCAAAAGGGAAAAAGTCACCAAAAGACTTTGCTCTCTGGCGATCGGCTTCAAATGAACCAAAATGGATTTATCAAAGTCCTTTAAATGGTCAAAATTTTCCTGGAAGACCTGGTAAGATTGATTAAATATTGGATCTGAAATGATCGTGTTATTCATCATTCATGTATCATTTTATTCACAGGTTGGCACGTTGAATGCAGTGTTATCGCAAGTTGGTTATATGGTTCTTCCTTAGACTTTCATTTTGGCGGAAAAGATCTAATCTATCCTCATCACTTTTGTGAATCTGCTTGCTCAGCGGCTTATTTTGACTTGGTTGATAAACAACCGGCCATCAAATGGGCTTCTCATTGGTTCCATTCCAGTCACATCAGACTATCGAAAGAGGTTTGCCATACAATAAAAATATAATAATGCTAATAATAACTGATTCATGATTTAACTCTTTTTTTCTCTAATACAGAAAATGAGCAAATCACTTGGAAATGTAATATTCATTAAGGACTTTCTTGAAAAGTATAACGCCAACATCTTGAGAATCATGTGTGCCTATTATCATTACCGCTTTGGTTAGTTTAAATCTCTCTTAACATTTTGCCAATTCAAATAATTGTTTTCCATTTTATTTTTACAGACTTTGAATACGACAGTTTAATAATCAAGAGATACAACGAGTTAGATAGAATATTCAAACAATTTTCACTTTCAATCAAAGAAAAATTACTTTCACTTGGATTATATAGATTTCAAAATGACAAATTTTTAAATTGTGAGCCTGATGATGGAACCTTGTTTAATTTAATCAAGGAATCCAAACATGAAATATTAGCTGGAGCAGCTGATGATTGGAATCTACACAGAGGATTGGTCTCTATTCTGGATATAATCAAGTATTTCGATAATTTGGATAATCCTACTTTAATTGATTTATATTGTATCAAAAAACATGTTTTTCAATGGATGTGTGCACTTGGCTTAAACTATCCACTTGATGATACTCCAAACAACGTAAAACAGGATTTATTGCTATTACAGCTCATCAATTATCGTAAAAACATCCGAGATCTCTCACTCAAGAGCTTACAAACTTCCGACCTGACAGTTGACACAGCCAAAGAAAATTTCGCCAAGATTCTTAAAACCAGTGATGAAGTACGTGAAAAAATCGAATCACTTGGTTATGTGATTAAGGATTCGAAATTCAAACCTGATTGATATTTACAAATGTGATTTTAGCTGTCCAATAATTTAAAATGAAATTTAGTTTTTCATTTCAATTAGGTACTTATATCGTTATTTTGTCGTTGTTCCACTTGTTAAATATCCATAGAGGATGATGCATATTCATCCATTTTTATCTACAACAAAATCTTTCTGGCAAAAGTCTATTGTTTGTGCGTCATTTTTCGTATCCATTTGCGGACCAGTATCATGCAGAAAACAAGAATACCTTGAACCTGGTGAATTAAACTTGAATCGTGCCTTTTTACAAAACAATTTATCTTTCATCACTCTTGCCTGTATCTGGGTTTTTCTTCTCATCATTTTCGTTTTATTTCGTATTTATTATATTGATGAGAGAAATAAATTGCGCCAAGTGTTTGATGATTGCTCTCCTTCAACTAGTCAATTCAAATATCTTGTTCGCTTACGTGTCGGCTTAAGTTCATCCAATTTCCAGAAAGAAACCACAGCAATTATGATGGACATACTGGATGTGAAGAACCGTTTCATTACTCGTATATCAGTTTCACCATCCTGGCTGAAAAGCGATGTTTACAATAAACAGTTAGACGAGAAACCTCGTCTAGTAACTTTGAAGTTTGTCCTGAATCGATTCACAACTATGCCAGCTATTGGTGGTGTCCGACTTTGCCATGATTCATACTTTCCTGTCGGTGGTTACATATTTATTCATTCAATTGATATCCGCAATTTCCGAGAAAACACAGTTACCGTGATTCCAGTGTTGAAACGCATTTTTGTGTTGCCTCCAGATGCTGAAGAGTTTGATCAAGTATTCAAAGCTCGTTCCCCTGGTTCAGCATTTAAAGATTCAGATGTATACATTGGAGGCTATTCACCATTCATCTCATTTCCTGAATATCTCATTTTCTTCTTCTTTTATGCCAATGTTGGTCTATTCACGGTTATGTTCAAGCCCACATATCTTCGAATAACTGATCTGTATCAAGCAGCTACCAACGGTGCTTTTGGATTCATGACAGCCTTTTCTATTACAATTTGTATTGTTGTCTTCTATCGCTACATTATTAAAACTTGCTACTCACGATATCGAGCTATGGGTCCATGGGCAGTTGTGCGAATCATTTTCTTGACTTCAATTTTCCTCATTGCTATGATTGTTGGTTTTACATCGTCAGTAATACAATCTAGATATTCTAGTCGAGCCTTGAGTTATTGGTCTTTAGCTGCTGTCATATCGGACGTGTTACTCGCTGCTGTCATGATACCTGCAATTGCTGTTAGATTGCTTATAAAAGTGAAATTTTCTCGATCCATGGGGAAATTGAAATCAAAATCGCTAATTAGTAACATGGTCGACGAAAACAAACCACCTGAACAAAGAACTCGAATTGGTGTTTCAACAAATACTCGATCAAAAAGTTTTCGTAAAGAGCTGAAAGCGGATAAAAAGGAAGAAAGTCTCAAAACTGATAATAAAATGGAAGAGAACATTGATGAGGCCGGAATGCAAACGATAATTCGCCAAAAAGCTAGTATTGAAGAAGGTCTGGATTTAGGTGCACGCGAGAAAAATGACAAAAGTGTTCGCAATCGCCTGCTCAATCGCATTCAGAGTGTTCTTAGAGGAACAAGTAAAATAAAAGAAACCGAAGAAGATAAATTTTATGCTATTAACAAGCAGCTCGAAAATAAATCTAATCCACCTCGATAGATTTATTTCAAAACAATTGTTAATGTTTGATTTTCCTCTACTGTCATATTATTTCATCAATCATTCGAATAAGCGAACTGTATATTCTTAATTTAATACTCTTGTCGGGTAAATTGAAACAAAGCTCTGGGATTGAAGAAATTGATGCAGAATGTTTTATTTTCACCTTTTACTTATTCGGTTGAATACTTCTATTGACGTGTAATTATATAAATTCAATATTTTTACAGGTTGTCTAATTATCCTGTGTGAGTTAACGATGTTGCAGAGCAATCCTCTTGAAGATTGATATTGAGCCTATTTCGAGCTAAAAAATCGATTGATGTTAATTATAGACGAAATAGATTTTGATGAATAAAATATTGTTTTTATAGTTAGGATCTGAATTGCACAATCAATAAGGTGATAAAATAAGGGGAATGAAATCTCCTGAATGATATCTGCATTAATTGTTATTAACCTTAAGCTGATTGCCCTATCATTGGCACTTGGAGCTGGCTTCTCTTCCGGGTCTGATTGAATCCTTTTCCATGGACTGTTAACCTATGTGACTAAGCTTTATTCAAATCTCGAGTTGAGTTCTTTAATCATGGAAAACATTCTCTCTAGGCTTTAACGTTTTATGTGATCAAAGGATTGAATAATAATCAGCAAGTACTTCTGGTGACAGGCAGATACGTTGAATTGATGGGCTTTGACTCATTAAATGTAAATATTTAGCCAATGACGGATATGCTTCGGTTAGCTCTTTCTCAGAGTTGAATGATGGATAATTCAGAGTGCGTAGAACTGGAACAATCATCTCCAAAGCTGTCCAAGTCATGTAGTCTGCATAATAAGGCTGTTCATCACCTAGATTAATGAAAATTTTTCTATTAATAAATTTCATTCGCAATGGTAATATGCATGCGACATAGAGTAAGACACCTAATTGACTAGAAAAGGTGTAGCAAGCTGTCAAACATTGGTGAAATAACTATATTTCATGGTTACTCATGAAATTACTCACTTTGAAGATATTTGGTTTTAATTTGAGAAAATTTTTCATCCAATTTAGCTAATGCTTTCTTGATTTCATCGATTTTCTGTTCCACAGTTGCCTCTTTGTTTTTCAAGTTTTTGATAGCAGTCAGAGCAGTGGGAAATAACTCATCAACAATAAGAGACCCTCGTGCTTTAACATATGGATCTGCCGGATGAATTGTAGGCTGTTTGAGTTCATCAAGATAGTTGACAATTACCAGAGATTCAGTTAATTCTTTGTCGCCTTCTTTCAAAAAAGGAACTTTCCCAGTTGGACAAATCTGTAAATACCAATCAGGTTTGTTCATTAAGTCGATTCCGACGAAATTGTGTCTATTAAGAATGAAATAGATGTAAAATATATTAAAATCAGAAATAATACCAGATACTGTGAATACTTGAGCAGCAATCATGAAACAAATTCCAAAAGTTAAAAGCAACAGCTTACGGTATATGCTTTACATCCAAAGTGATGAGACATCTCTGAGTAAACGGACAAAACTTGCTTCCATAAATCGTCAACACAGATTCATCCACAGAAGGATGAACTTTGCTATCTAATTGAAAATTGAAATTTAAAAGAAAAATAATTATTCATTGAAACAAAAAAATAAATAATGAATAAGATAAGCTAGAAAAGAACAAGTTAAATATTGAAAAAACGGATTACCTTTACTGTGATATGATTTCAATATCTCTTGAGCCATCAAGGAAGTGTATTAACGCGTGTAAAAGCACAGAAAAATAGTTTGATTAATTTAAAAATGAATCTAACCACTAAATCAATTTAAGTTATAATCAACCACTTCACAACTTGTCATAGTAACACTTGAAGCGATTCCATTTATAACCTAACATAACGCAAAAATAGCAAACAAAAGAAGGTATAAAAAAGGTGAAGCAACGCCATCTTCTAGTAGGTAAATGATTAATATACGAAGAGTGAAATCCATTGAAACGATCAATAAATGATTATTTATTAATGTGACAAATCAATAAACGAGTGCAATTAAATGTAATAAATGTAAAACAAATGAACTCAAACTGTAATTATTTTTAACAAGAAACTAATGCGATCATGGCTGATCGCAAGTTTCTTTTAACCACCCATGCTAACTGTCTTTTCACGGTAATGTCCACCACCCAATCTAACACATTCGCCAAATCAACTAAATCAAACACCACTTTTTGTCCACCACTTTCATTAACCACTTTAGAGTGGCTTTTTTGCATTACATTTACAAACACTTTTTCTTATAAGATTATCCACCACCCAAATCCACCAAATTTTTGACCACTTTTTGAGATATGATGACGATTAATAGTGGACATGCTAGATGGTGTAAAAGTGGTGAAGATGGTGGTGGACAAATTTGTTGAGAAAAGTCTTTTTGTTGATGTTGTTTTAGTTGATTTGGTGGATGTGTTGGATTGAGTGGTAGACATTATGGTGAAAAAAGCCTTTCTTTACTCTTTACTCAAATGACAAATTTTTACATAAAATCCTGGTCCAACAATGAAACATCAACCCGAATAACAAAAAAGTTTTTCCCCCTCTCTCAATGTTATTGGATACGGATTCTACATTTTTTCCCCCATTCTCTATTTTCATGAATTTCTCAGAGGTCATGAGATTCTGAGGTTAGGTTTTCTATTTTTCGTCGTTGTAGTTGAATCAGGGCTTTCAGACTGTGTAATTTTTTTTCTTGGAACCCGCTCCGTTTAGCCACAATCTTGACGCAAAAATTTGATACTTTGACTTTATATATTGTATAGATGTATAGATAATCACAACTCAGGAATGAACTTTGAAACAAATATTACAAATGAAGGATTGATAAAGATTGACATTTATTGAAATCAAATGATAGCAATAAATAAGCCACAATCAATGTAGAATCATTTAAATATGATTAATCAATTTAAATTATTAAAAAATGCTGATTAATTATCAAAAACAATTGTTAAATTGAAAAATAATTAATGTTTCTGTTCCGATATTTTCAAAACTGAAACATGTTTTTTTGCTGGAAAAAAATTGATTTATCCTTTATTGTTAATCAGTCGCTAATGTTAACCAATTTAGCCAAACTAAATTACATTTAACAAGTTGCTGATTACAGTTTAATTGTTAATTAAAGACAGACACTTAATTTATTACAATAATGGTAATAATGGTGTGAATGTTGATTGGGAAAAGCGACAAAATTGGACAAGATGAAAACCAAAAAAAAGTAGAGCTTCAAAGCGACTCTGAAAGGGGAAAATTAATAGCAAATGTTAATGATTATCTGTGATTACAATTTTAAATCAAATTTAATCCAATTGACATGATTGACCTGACCTGGTCTGACCAGCATATCAGAGAAAGGTTAACTTGATTCTGACTTTGTTTTTGTTTTATTATTTAGTTGGTTAAGTTGGTTAACTCCATTCAATTTTGTGTAACCAGAAACGAAACAAGAATAAGAAGAAGAAAAAAATTGAGAATTTCGTTTCAAATCAATCTTCTAATTAATTTAAATTGCATCCTTAATAACAACTAATTCACATTAATCGTATGGAATCACAAAATAAAGGTAAAAACATAACAAGATGAACATGAAAAGGATCAACGGTTCAACTCGATGAGAACGGTGATGATGTTAACCATCATCTTCATCTTCATCTTCTTCTTCCGGGTTATCTTAAAGAGAAAAGGTTAATTGACTTTCTTCTTGTATTGACCTTGTTCCGATAAATGTTTACATTCGTAACAGTTTTGATTATCATTAAAAAAAAGGTAAAAATCAACTTTTAATGTTTTCAGAAGTTATTCAAGTTGATCAAATAAAGGAGCAATAAACAGTGAAAGTGATTCAAATTAATATAAATTGCTCAACAATTTCACTCAATCAGTTTTGGTGAAATCAATTGCTGATCAATTGCTGAAGTTTCAATTTTCACCTAAATTTCCAATGAATTTTAACATTAAACTTTGAAATATTGGAGGTAAAAGGTTTACAAATGAAAGGTACGATCAAGTCCAATAATAACAATTGTTTGACTTTCGATTGATGTCAAATGTTAATCTTTATCAACTTGTCTGTCTCATTTGATTGCAATTTAATTCATCAAACTGTCCGTTAATGACCTTGAATTGTATAAATATAAAATAAAGTGATTAATCTCATTATAATTATCATGATTATGTTGTTAACATGACAATAGCAATTGAAACGCTTTGTTTTTGTTGTTTCTATTATTTTGCCTTTTGCTGTTAATATTTTTGATTTACATTGAAAACAGTGAATACAATAATGACAAGTTAAATTGATTGAAATTGGAACGAAAATCAAGGAAATAATTAGAATAAATTATTTTCTGATTTACAAGAACCACTATTACAGTTAACATCATCAACATTAACATCAACAGAGTTGGTCGTTAACAGCTTTTACAACATTAACCATTGAAGATGTAAAATTATGTATATTAATAATAATGATAACTAAAAAATTACTAATTGATAAAATTAGTTTAATTTAAGCAAATTGTCTGTATAATCAGTTGAAGTCTTGTTAAAGTAAAGTGTTAACAACACAATTTTACCTCATCATCTTTTAACCAACAAATGTATTCACCTTTTGCTATTTCAACTCCCTTTAGACTCATTATTATATTGTGTATGATTTTTTTTCATGTTGTGTTTGTTATTATTATTATCATCACCATTATTGTTATTAGGAATATGATTATAATTATAAGGAGTAAACAATTGAGTGTTACAAGTGACAATAATTTTTCTTTTATTATAAAATTTCTTCCTCATTTGTTTTATTTTCTCTATGCAATTGATCTCTCTCAACACGCATTAATGATTTGGCCTCAATTTAACTTGATTTTTCTTGAGGAAATGGTTAAACAAAACCTTTAATTCCTCTCTTTACACTTCTAATGATATGTTTAGTCGAAATAAGTAAATATTTCACTAACTAAATTCATATGTATATCATAAAGAAATTTAAGAAACAGTTTAATAATGAAAGGGCTTAAAACACTATCCCAATTATTGAACAGTCAATAATGGTGATTGGGTAAGTTGAAGCTTGCTTTTCTTAATTTTAAGAAAGGTGAAGCTATCGAAGAGGTTGAAATGTTCATCTAGATTGGATCAAGTCAGGCCAATTCCAGACAAGATAAACCCATTTCTTTTGAGCATAAAAATAAAATCTTTACAAATATTATTGTTTATCGATACTCAATTCAAGGCTGCAAACATATGGTTATACCAGATAAGACACAATACAGTAAATAGAACAGTAGTCAAACAAACAAATTTAAGGGTCAAGGTCCACTTTTAGATTAAATTACAAGGTTAACAAAAATTCAACAATTGAAATGACAGACAACAATTAATAAAGTGAAGAAAAAATGAAACCAATTTTTCTGAAAGTCTAATTGGTAAAAGTCACCTCTTTGAAATTGAAATAATCACAGATAACTATTTAACTATTAGATAATAACTATTAGATATTAACTATTAGATAGCTAATAGACCCCATAAAACATAGGAACATCGAGAAACAAATAAACATGAAATTATCCATCATGACTTCAAATTATTAAGCATTGAATATTCCCAACTTATGAACAAAATTGGGTTTACCAAAAATCATATGTTTGCGGCGAGGTAACCATTGGTTACAACCCAAATGACTAGAAATGACAATTACATACCACAGATGGCGTTAAAATCTGGGAGTTTCTCACCTCGTAACAAAATCAAAATAAAAATAAAAATAACAAACACAAAATCAAAAATTGTGTTTATTGGTTGATCAAGCAAAAATTATTACAATCAAAGTAGATCAAATATAGTGGATAAAATGAGTTAATTAAATAACAATACATTGTATAAATAATAAATAAATTGTTAAATAAATGGGAGAAAAAGTTGGTTATGAAATCAGGAAAAGAAATAAATAAAGAAATAATAAATTTGGATAATCAGTTCAATTATAAATTCTCAATCAATTGGCTTATTTAAAGTTTTCCCTGCTTTTTTTAATTGCCGATTGATCATAAGTAATGTTCAATAATGATTTCAAAATTTAAATATTTAGTATAATTAAATTAAAACTATCATTAACATTAGTTGGTTAGGCATTTAAGTGAAAAAAAGGAGAAAAAAGACGTTAAAATCAAGATTGATTGCATGATTTAAAAGTCAATTTGATCAACGTTCATCATCATAAGCATCTTGATCCACGTAAAGGTAAGCTAATTGTGAGAGGAGCACAAAAAAGAGTGAAAAAACAGTTATTCAGTTAACCCTAGTGAAGATGATTGTTGGTTACAGGATTTAACTGGAAGAGTGAATTTCAATTGTAAAACGGTGAATCAATTTAATCGACAATTTTTAGCCTACCAACAACTACCTTAAACAATTAACATCACCAACATATCAATACACAGTCAACTAATTATTCCAGGTTAGTACCAATTAACACTATTCAATTGTATCAAAATCAGTTTGAAATGAAAGTCAAAAAAGGTAAATAACGAAAACCAGAAAAAGGTTTTTCCAATTTAAAGGTTAACCCAAAGATTTATCAATAGACAAGACTTAACCTAAAAGAAATAATTAAATCAAATAAAATACAATTAATCATTTTAAAATGATTCAATAAGAAATGGCGAAAATAATTTCTGGTTAAAATCTGGTTTTTAGACCTAAATACTGTTCTCTTCATCTCTGGAGCAATGTTGATCCAAAGCTGAGGTTAAATGTTCTGAAGAGTTTTCATCAAATTGATTCAACTTTAATCGAATTGTTGTTTACTCGGTGAAATGGTTTCAGAAGACAGGTGAATTAGACAGAAATGGGAGAAAGGTAAGAATGGTGAATACAGAAAATGATGATAAAGATGATAATGATGATGAGAAGAAAAAACGAGTATATTTGTCCCTCCTTCAACGTCTCTCTCTTCATGATGATCGGATGAATACAAGTGAAATGAACGATCTATCGTCAACTAAACTGCTCCTTCTCATCATCTTCATCATTCTCCCTTGTTCGTCTTCTCATCTTCTTCTCTCTCTCTTTTTTTCATTATGCTTATTTGGACCAAAAGTTAATCCAAAACTAAGTTATCACAGTTTTTTACCAAATACAATCACAGATTGAAAAATCAGTAAAAAGTGAGAACAAACAATTTATTACTATTGTTATAATTCATTGTATTATTATAATTAAACTGACTCTTTGTATCTTCATTTAACAATATAATCATCATTAATTAGGTAAATCATCGATGATTTTGGATAAAGTTAAAATTAAATTGTCACTTGCTTTCAATTTGTGTTTTTGTATGTTTTTTCACAATCAACTTTGAAAACTTCATCTGGTCATCAATTGTTTTTGTTTGTTTGTTTGTTTTTATTTCACCTTTTTATGTTTGTGTAATTTGTTTCAATCATAATCATCATCATTGTGTGTTATCTGGTTAATTGCTTTAACACATTGACTATTCTAAGGGATTAATTTGTGGATTTATTGATATAAAGTCATCAAAGTCATCAACTCTTCTGTGTTACCTTTAAACAAAAAGTCAACAATTTAAAGGCCCACCTTTACTGATATAAAAAAATAGATATAAATATACTCACAATTTGCCCTGAAATTTCAATATTGGGTTCCGTTAGTTCTGTTTAATTTGCTTCATGATAATGGCTATTTCTGATGAAAACAATGATGGTCAATCCATCTATTATCCATCTGATGAATTCAAGGAAAATGCTCACATATCAACCATGGATCAATACAAGCGTCTCTATAAGCGTTCAATTGAAGATCCAGAAGGCTTTTGGTCTGAAATTGCTCAAGACTTTTACTTCAAAAAAGGGCCAAATGGACCTTTCTATCGGTACAATTTCGACATTCACAAAGGACCCATTGAAATCAAATGGATGGAAGGTGCCATTACCAATATAACCTACAATGTTGTTGATCGAATCATTGAGAAAGGTCTTGGTGAACGAACGGCTTACATTTGGTAAGTCAAAATGCATGATAAGAGACAATGCAATATAAATAAAATTAACAACAATTAACAGGCTAAAACCTCTTCCATCACCATCTTGGCTTTTTTACTCAATTCATCAATTCAAGTCAAATTCAGGTTAAAATTTGCTCAACAGCTTAATATTTTCCATTCATTTAACAGCTAAATAGATTTAATGTTCATCTATTCTCGGCTTTATCATCTCTTGTTACTCCACTAATATTGTTATTCAATTAGATGATTTGATTCTCGGTCAATTTGTTGTTAACAGATTTGCCAAGATTATATGGTTGATGATTAACTGTTGGCTTATCAATTGTTGGTGTTATTCTCGATGTTGGCGTTGATGATGATGAACACGTTGATTCTGTTGAAGAAGAGAAGAAAAAAAAGTTTAAGAATAAGAATTAAATTTTCTGGATGAGTTAATTTAGATGGAAATCTGATTTTACCTTTAATTGCAATCATAACCACGAATATTTTGATTTGTATCTTAAAGACATATAAGATAATTGCCGTTTCTTTGGTAATTTACAATTAGATTATAAAAAGATTATTAGGCCTTGTAATTTCCTCATTATTGTTATTTTCCTCGCCCTTGATGTTGTTTTTTTTGTTATTGTTTTTCTTCGCCATATTCCCCTGTTGTTGCACTTGCATCTCACTTAACGATAATACATCATCGTAAAAGTCCATCTTGTTTTTCCCTTCGTATTGGAATTAATTATCAATAAATAGTTGGTCAAAATGCTTGAATGATAACGGCAACTTCAACGATTTTGCCAACATAATGATATAATACCAACCAAATAAATCATTTTCAGATTGAATTGAGTATATTAGATGACACAATAGTACAGCTTTGAGAAGAAGGTAAATATTCACGAAACGGCCAAAGTGCCAAATGAAACTGATTAATTATTCCTGTTATGAATTGCTAATTAGCCAATGGGTAAAATCTGAGCTCACATTATCAGATGATGCAAGATAATAGCAATAATAATTGGATCCAGCTAAACAAAAAGAGAGAAAAGGAGAAATAAATTAAAAGGAAGAAAGTTAAGTGTTGATTATTTCATGTTTTAAGCAAGGGAATTAAGTTATTGTAAATTAAGCGAATGACTTTCCCTTAAAAAACAAAAAATGTAACTAATACCGTTTCAAAAGCCAAAATGATTTTGCAAGTGGAATTTTCTTGTTAGATTCTTGTTTAACCAGGGAAAAACGTATTTCCCCAAGAATATAATTCATCACATTCATCATCACTACCATCATACTGTGATAAATTTCAAGATAATTACAGATCCTGGGTAATGGTCACAATCCTCAAATTTAAAAGCCATTAAACACCTGAGATTGTTGAGTTGCTTGATTTTGCAGTTCTCCAAAGCCTGAATCAAAATAAGAGAAATTAAAAATTAAAATTCAATATTGCTTACTATAAATAACATTGATTCAAATTTTATCTTATAAACAAGAACCTTTGGCTATTCAGCTTCAATGGTTAATAATAATTGGTTGTAAGGCTAGGATAATTTGAATAAATTAATTGTTCTAATTGAATCAGCTCATCTATGAATATTATAAGATGATAATGACAAATATTTTCAACGAAGTGAAAGGCTCTTCAATTTGCAGTAAATCAATAAGATGAACGCTTCTGGAAACAGTAACAATTGTAATTATAAAGAAAAGGAGAAACAATGATTATGATGATGATTTACCATGATTATCAATCGACCAACTATTCGATTAATTAAATTGTCCAATCTTCTTCTTTCATAGCTCAGCTTATCAATTCACTTCAAGGTATTTATGTTTTACAATCAATTTTGATGGTCGCTTCTGAATTATATTTTTGATACAATAGTGACATTATCATAATCATGTAATCATATTTTATCATTCATCATTATTACCATTATTATGAATATGTTATTATTGTAGTTTTTTTACCATTATTACTGTTGTTGTTATCATGTCAAGTTGACATTCCAATGAGCATTTATCATTATCAATGAGAACCAGTGAATGAATTAAATGGTAATGAAGCTGGAGAAGTGTAAAAAAAAGCTTTGCGTGCAAATATTGTCAAACTAACGTTACTAACAGGTCACAATTTAAAACATCAGTAATAGTTCTATCATTATCGAGGGTAATTTTAATTACAGGTCGTTAAGGTTCGCAAATTTTCTCGTCAGTAACTCTTACGAACCCTCTTTCTTTTCTCTCTCTCTCTCTCTTTTTCTTTAACTCGTTTTACAGTTAACTCTTATTTCACTGTGAAACTGTATTTTAACGGCTACGGTTTGTTCAACTCCGATATCTTTTGCATTTCTTCAATCATAACAACTCCATTACCAGTATAAACAGTTAACTCATCCTGATTATAACATCTTTATTCCTGGAAACTAAATCCCTTTAAGGCCAATTTTCGCCAACAATATAATGATAATTTGATCAGTCATTGGTCATTCAAGATAACAGGTAGCATTCCTTGAGTTGCTTAGATGAAGTTGTGACTCATTAAACATTTAACTAGAAAGTGATCGACGATTATCCAAGTTGTATCCATTCTAATGGAGCATCAAATTATTGGTGAATCCATGATTTTGGAAAAGAATTGAGTTATTTCCTCGAGAATTGGATGAGTTAGATGGTGAATCCTGAGGCAGTACATTATCCAAGAAATGCTAATAAAGAAGAAAAAATAATAGTAAATCTGCTCACTGATTAAACATATGCTTCTATCCGCAATTTACCTGCGATCATTTCTTTTAATTAACCATCAAAAGATATATTAGCAATCAAATTGATCTTAAAGTCAAGTGCAATTGATTTTAAATTGAAGAGGGTTGAATCGAAATAAAAAGCATAGAATTTTCCAAAAAAAGTTGAACAACCTGATATTAATCTTTAAGGTTATCCATTCATTTTTTAAGACGATGCTCAGCTATGACTATTTTTTGTCAAATCCGAATCCACTACTGTTCAGCTAATCGATTGGTTATAATCTAACAAAATGAAAATGTAAAATGAAAGTGTAAAATGATGGGGAAGATAAGGTGAACAAAATTATCAACCAATAAAGGTTAAATTAGTGATGAAATGATAACAGGATGATGAATACATGATTCGGTAGAAAAAAAGGATTAAGAGAAAGTTGAGTGAAAGTGAAAACAGGTTCATGTACCATCATGATTGGAATGATAATGATAGATCTTATGTTACCAAAGAGTCCATGTTACAAAAGTAGGCTTCACTTTCAACAGATTGTTCAGCCATCAGTGTGAAATTCCATTGATATGGAAAGAGTTGAACCAATGTACGATGAATACTTTAAAGGTTCATTAATTATATCCAGTAGTTTGGACAATATGATTGTTTCAAGTAATAAGTTTCAGTCAAGGTTATCGAATCAAAATTTTTGCTCCTTTTTTTGCGATTGATTCCAACAACTAGGATAAGAAGAGAGAAAAATGTGGTTAAATATGGAAAAGTAAAAACCTGATCGACATAGAGACAACATGCGTCATGCAATTTTCAAATATTTCATCCAATCAGATAATGATGGTCAACTAATGGCATGCAAACATTCACTTGATCGAAAATATGAGAAGAGATAAAAGGAAGAGTTAACATTAATACGTTGAAAGTACCAAATATTAAAACTAAAGAATTGGGAATAGTTGAGGAAAAACAATTTCAAACAAATCTTTTTTAAAGCAAAAATAACGCTTTGTTTTTCCTCTCTTTTTCATGCAAATATTTCCCAGAATTGAAACATCTTATCTTATTCACAAAACTCGTTCGCAGGGGCATCGAGCTGATTAACAATTTAAAATAAGAATTGAAATGAAAATAACTGAAGATAAAAGTAATTTGAAGAGAATGGATACTTAATAGTGATTTAGCTCTATTTGTGTCTTACTGTCAATATCATGTTAATAACCAGATTATTAGATATCGACATAAAAAGATGAAAAAACAATGCAGTCGAATCTTATAATTGGTTATTTTACTCACTGTGTTTGTGTGTATATCCTTTACTGTCGCAAATGTGTCGAAACTTCAGTGTATCATGCCTTGAATTAATTAAGCGTCCTTATGATTGATGATGGTGCATTCATGAATATTTTCTGAAAAAACAATGTGAAGCAACATTTGTTAGCAAATATATAAATATAAACAATTTTTTACCCGTTTCATTACACTCTTTTTGATTTATTATATAATGCTTTACATTAGAAGAGAAAGACAAATCTAAACAAACTGATTCCTCTTTTAAACTAGGTCGATTCAGTTCATTTCAACTGCTTATCTCACGTAGTCAACCGAGGAATATAGCTGAGAAAGAGTTGTGAATTAGCTTGTGAGAGTTAGTCAAAGGAGTAAATGGTAAATAAGAAGAGAATAAGTTAGATGAAAATTAGACAATTGCACCAGCAATTTCCGGGCTAATATGAGTGTCTTCATGACCAATGGAGTGGATAGAATACAAAATGAAATTTGAATTATTCCAAGTTGACACTACTAAATTTCTCGATTACCATTACAATAATCAACCAGTTTGCCGGTAGCAATCTGTTAAATTAGCCAAATTAAAGTAGCAGCTAACAGACTTTGGTTCAATCAACCTTTCCAGGAGTAGCATTTGTAGTGTTTCCAGAAGTATTTAAGCTGATATTATCGAAGTTAATGAAGATGAAGGTTTTTCAATTTAGGAAATATCGGAATGGAAAGTTTCTTTAAAAATTCAAACATGTCCTTGGCTTAGGATAAAATCACGAGTATCTGACATTAGGCTAGATTTCAACTATTTAAATACAACCAATGCTGCCAAAAGGTATCTTGAGTAATTAGTGGTGATAAATGAGTTATTCTCATTTCTAATCCATGGATAGAAAATAATGAAAGACAATTTCAGGTCTATCTTGCAACATTTTCCTGCCATCCATTTCAATTAATATTAGATAAGTACCAATGAATAAGTGACTGGATATGGTAGCCATTTGGTTAACTTACAAATGAATTTGTAGGTACAGGTTTGTCCGAGCATTGTTTGTAAGTTGGAAAACATTTTGATAAATATCTCATTGATTGAGAATTTATTTCCACCATTTTCCATGAGAATTCTTTCGGTTACCAAGCACCACCAATTGTTGCCTAAATTACCAATCTAATAAAGGTGCAAAGAAAAGTAAAGGTACGATCAATTGTATTTAGTAATGAGGTAAATTCAAATATCTTTAACTTAACTGTATCATGAACCATGATGAATTATTTCTGAATATTATGAAAAGCAAAACCAGTTCGTTAATTATATGGAAACAAAAATAATCAGTAATGTTATTTATTTACTTATTACTCGTACCACTGAATGTTTGTCTAGCTAATTGATACAAAATTTTGGCAATCATAAATAATCGAAAAAAGCGGTTTTAGGAAAATATTTTTGCAGCACAAGTTTTCCTTTTTGGTTTCACTTTTTCCCTCAGATCTTCATTAACATTTGAAATATGCTTACTTACCTAATTACCAAACTTCTGAAACAGTCATAAATGATCACAACCAAAACGACAACAAAATTCTTATATTAACATTCTGATTGAAGAAAAAATTTGATTTTAATTACACAAACAAAAAAACCGTTTAATTTAAAAATTCATTAATTGATGATTCACACAGAAGATTCAAGTCATTCAATCAAAAAAGCTGTTAAGCAACAAAAATACGCTGAAAATAACAATGAGGCTAATCTCACGAATTATGCAATTTTAACCGTTTCATTTTTTCGATTATCGATTCTATCGCTTTCTGACATCTTAATGTTAATTAATTTTGTTATTATTCACATTTTTGCTTGAATTTAGTTTATGTTGAGTTAAATAATTAGTTAATTAATTTCATCTCGAAAGCTATTGATTTTTAAAAGATTCCGATTATGGCTTCAATTGTTACCAGCTGGAAGAAATGTCAACTTTTGGTCAGACGATCCAGTGATTGGATATCACCAATAAATGCATCTTTGTTTAAGCCTGTTAATTGTATATTTTATTGTCTATTTTGTTTATTTTTGATTGATTAATTTGACCTTTTTTTCTCTTTTCCATGTGCTTGCTTGTTTGGTGTCATTTTTGCTGGCCGATCCGTGCTAAATCTGTCTACTTTCCTTCATCTGAACCATGGCTTGGTCTCAACGGTTTGATCTAAAGGGAGGGAACAGAACCTAATCAATATCGGACAATAACTTACAATGAATTGAGGCGACAAATCTGCAAATTTAGTAATGTACTTAAAGCCAAAGGAATCAAAAAAGGCGACCGAGTTGCTCTCTACATGCCTGTCACCATTGAATTAGTGATTGCCATGCTTTCATGTGCTCGAATCGGAGCCATTCATTCAGTCATCGTAAGTTGACTTGCCTTAAGATAATTTTCACTTTGCTTAATACTTCGGCAATTCGTAACTTTCCTAATGCTAATTAGAATGTTAATTTGTATAATTTAATCAAATCATGCTTCACCATGGAATCATTAGATCAATCTTTTCATGTTGAATTAAATTTCAATTCAATTGTAGTGTGCAAATTGATGTGTACATATTATGATAATGAGAATCTCACTTTGATTTAAGGATTGTTATTATCAACATTCTCATTGGTTTAGTATCTTGATTTATAACATCGAATCCTCAATCATTGTTTACCAGCAAGTTGTAGTTTTTTTGCCGATGACCTGATTCATAAATTTACTGTTCATCGAACGCTAAATTTTTAACCTTGAATTGAGCTTGGCACTTTTTCCTGATTTCAGTTGATTATTCAAATTGATCGTACTTTTTCATTCCCACAGTTATTTGTGGATGAATAGAAACAGAAATTATTTACTATTGAGCCAAAAGTCTGAATAAAATTATAATTAAGTAGACATTGATTAACAATTTATACATTCATCATCATTTTTTCACTTCTTTCAACGACAAGTGTCAATCAGTCGATGCAAAAAGCAAAGCTGTAATAGTAAATAACAGTTTTATCTCCAAAATAATTGACCTTTCAATTTTTTTTGTATTTTTTTGCTTTGTTTTGTTTCTTTTGTTGATTTATCTGTTATTTAATTTCAAATTTTATCCTCCTTCACCAATCAACTGAGCATTCTTATTGAAAAACAGTTACCATACAATCTTGGTAACTGCATTACATAGCGTTTTACATTTGAAGCAACTTTTACTTCACTCTGTTTTGTCTCTAAAGTTAATCAATTAAACCAACTTTTAATTCCTGTTTCCTTTATTTAAACAGTTTGCAGGATTTTCAGGTGATGCTATTGCCGAACGAATATTGGATGCTCGTTCAAAATTATTGGTAACTTGTGATGGTTGTTATCGTGGAACTAAATATATTCCGTTAAAAGAGTTGGCAGATCAAGCTGTTCAAAAATGTAAAGCTAAGTAAGTGAATGATAGTGTTAGTAAACAATTTTTCTTACGCTCAACCTTTTATTAGAAAACTTTTACCATTTATTTTACATTATTTGCATCAAAATCTGACGGAAGCTTACTCAATCAAATAAATTAACGATGCTGCCGAAAATTAGTTTTCATTTAGCTTCTCCTTTTACCCTAAATAAAGTTATTAACTGAATCAGTTATTATTTAAACAAATCTCTAATTTAGATTACGTTAGATTAGATTGTATCTTAATTTCAATCAAAAACAGGTAGATTGAATTTTTGAAAATTTCAATTCAAATCACATTATAAATCATTCATTAAAAACATTAGAGTTTTCATGTAAATGGTTATATCTTTTGATATTTACATTGGAAAAAAATTGTTTTCAAAAAGTTACTTTTTCTAATATGTTTTCCTTTAATTTAATTTATTCAGAAATCATTATCTTGCTGCCGTTATTGTATATCATCACCTGAAGGAACCAGCAAGTCTATCGCATTCTGGAAATGCATCGAAAAACGAGAAAGTCGGAGGTAAAAATGGCCTCAATGTAGTTAAACCCATTCCCAGTGCACTTGGAATAAACGGTGCAAATGGTATTAATAATATCAATGGACTTAAATGTAATGATAACAAGAATAACGAGATGAAAAGTATGGTTAATAGCATTGAGGTTAAAAACAATTCCTCAAATGTTACTGTCAATGGAACCAATAATCTAAACAATTGCTCCAACAACATTAATACCAACAGCAGCACCCCTTCAATCACTATCGTTAATAACAATATCAACAATATTAAAGAGGAAAATGGTAAAGAGGATAAAATAACTGAAAAACCTAAAGAACATCCAATTATTCCATGGGATCCTGATCTTGATTTCTGGTGGCATGAACTGATGAACACAGCAGATGATCATTGTGAACCAGTTTGGGTTGATGCTGAAGATCCTTTATTTATTCTTTATACAAGGTAAAACAGCGATGAAATGCTGAACATCATCATCATCATCATCATTATCATTAGCAATACGTATCTCATGAAAGTTCACCTTTTTCATCTTTCACTTTTCAAGTCCATGTAAACAACCCCAGAAACAATTTTGTACTTGAATTAGCAAGAAGAAGATGAATTTAGGGAATATATCAAAATTTAAGGTTAAAAATGAAGTTAGTCGGAATATAAGGAGAGTAAATGAAGATGCAAGACGAGTTTTCAGTAAATCTCATGACGGAAAAGTCCCTCATGACATATTGTAAGATTGGTAAGGTAAATTCCCCTGACATTGGATTCAACATGATCTACCTATTATCTCTCTTTCACTTCTGTTTTCTTCTGTCCCAAATTAAACCTTAGTTTTACCTTTTCTCTCTTACCAATGGTATTTTTTTATGCTAACCTGAAAACCATTTTATCCTATCATCATCATTATTTCCCTACCATCACCATTATTATTATTATTACTACTACTAATTTAATTTCATTGTTTATTCCTTCATTTGTTGCACTACCTTTTAGCTATAAATATTTTTTGAGACTCTGGCTGTTGATATCATTTTACTTAACTGATCATTCATTAGTATTTCTTTCTTTTCTTGATTTCTCTTTACACAGAACCAATCATTTTATCATGGGATTTCATTTTAAATTAGCTTTCAACATGAAAATTGTTTGCTTCTGTTTAATTCATTGTGTACGGACTAAATGATGATTATGATGATGATTATGAAAAAGGTGTTCCAATGGTGTTTAACTTGCTTGTCATGAAGTCTTTTCCAACATTTAAATGGTTCGAAGTGAAAGTTAAATTTAAAATGGTGATGCAGACGAAAATGAATTTGAAATCTGAAAAGATTGACGAAATGATGATGACCAAGAAAGCAAGAAGAAACAGTATCGCAAGGAAGAAGATTAGATGTTGTGTTAGATATGGTCAAGCATTTAAACGTTGGCCGGAAAAGCAATTTATTTCGCACCTCAATTCGATTTAATTTCGACATTGAAAGTTTAACCTTCAATTGAAAATGCGGAAAAAATGTCCTTCGGCACTTTGGTTGCACGTAAAAATGCCAATTAAAAAAGCTGATGATGAAAAGGAGAAAAAGTAAAGATGAAGATTGAAATGGGCAGACCAAGAGTTATCATTTTTCTCACTCTTTTTCACTTAACCGGTCGTTATTATTTATGTTTTTGTTTATTTGTTTATTTCAATTTTCATTTTTTTTTACTTTTCATTCTTGATTCTTTTTCGCATTTTTAATTTCCATCTTATTTTGTTGTTTTTTAGCTTCTCCTTTGCCTGTTGAACATGCTTACTGGTGACCGATACATTTATATATTTAAAGGCCGATTCTTTATCGTACATTAACCATTAATCAGTGCTAAGCGAGTGAAAGTAACACGATTCAGGAGATTCGGTCAGATATCAAATGGCATGGTCTGTTTAGGTTGCATTTTTTCAAGTTGAATAGCTGAATGTTGTAAGATGAAAGGGAATATAAATTACTGAACCTAATCAAGTTAAGAGAGGGATAAATAATGGCGATTAAGGTGAAGAAGAGAAAGTGTGTTTTCTTCCTTTCTCTCTCTCATTCTCTTTCTTTAGACTCCTTAAGGTCAAAAATGGTCAGAATAGTCGTTAATAACAATTCAATGAAGTGAAAGCTATTTCGGCTGTTGAGCTTAACATTTTTTGTGTTTACATCGTCTTCAGTTGTAAGATTTTGATGATTAATTGTAATGAGTTATTCAAAAAAATACTTAATTCTTTCCAAATCTTCTCAAAACTATCAGATGATGATGATAATGATGATAAATCTTAAATTGAAATAGCAAATTTTGCCAACAGCATTTTGCACCTTCGAAAAAAAACGCTTGATTCCAATTCATGATTCAATAAGTTCAGTTGAATTAGTTGAGCTTTTGCTATATTCCTTTAACGATGATTAACTGTTTTTTTTTCATTCGTTTGGTAATTTGCTCTTTATAATATTAACAGTTCGCATTTTTGTTTATTACTTTTCGCTTTTTTTTCATTCCTCTCTAAATTGTGCATTTTTTCCTGAGTTGGTTTCATTCGCATTTGCAAGAGACGCTTTTGTCCGTCTTTTAATTTAACAATAATGATGTTAATTTGCTATTTTCTTGTCTTTTCCCGTCATTAGTGGTTCAACTGGAAAACCAAAGGGAGTTTTACACACTGTGGCTGGTTACATGATTTATGCAGCAACCACCTTCAAGTATATCTTTAATTACAACGGTGGAGACGTTTTCTTTTGCACTGCCGATCTTGGCTGGATTACTGGACACACTGTAAACGTTTATGGTTCACTGGCCAATGGAGCAACAATTGTCCTCTTTGATGGGACACCATTTTATCCTGATGCTGGGCGACTTTGGCAAATTGTTGATACCCACAATGTTAATACCTTGTACACAGCTCCAACCGCAGTTCGATCTCTAATGAAGTATGGAGATAAATTTGTGAAACAATATTCTCGAAATTCCCTCAAACTCCTTGGAACTGCTGGTGAACCCATCAATGAAGAGGCTTGGGCTTGGTATTTCAGGGTTGTTGGCAATGGACGATGTCCAATTGTTGACACCTTTTGGCAAACTGAAACGGTAATTCTATTTATCCATTTCCAAATGAAATTCTAATCGTATGATCACCTTACCGTCAAATCATCAAAACAACTTTCAACTCATTGTGATTGTTTTATCATTCGACCTTTTTTCACCTTTTCCTGGCATACTTAATGTTTAGCTTATCTTTACTGCCAAATTCAATCTAACATTTGTTTTATCAGCCAAAAAGTCACAAAAATTTGGTCATTTGCCGTGTAGTAGCGTATTGAAAGTGTAGCGGTGCTAGACTTTCATTTAATAATCGTCATGAGATGATAGTTTCAATGACTCGGTGATATTTTTGACTAAATTGACTGTTGGGAGAAATTTTTCAAGATTCAAAATTAGCATGAACTCAGTGTCTTTAACTCGAATTATTATGAATCCAATTGATTAGCCATGGTTCAAGGTACCAATCAAATCATTTTAGGTTGTGCAAATTGCCATTTACGAAAGTATCAATACTGTTAAAGGTTAGGTTTTTTTGTTTCGATTGACGATTAATCTATTATGCAAGCATTCAAATTAAAGGCTGGTGAATGATCACTGGTTATCTTGTAAATGGTATGAAATTGATAAAGTAGCTGTATGATTTGCTAACCTTGGCCGTGATTTTTTAGATCAAAATTTCACTCAAAATTCATGCTCTTCAATTTCGAGGTTTGAATATTGATTAAAATTTTCAATGGTAATCACAAGCATTGATTACAAATCTTGAAATAATGTCATTTGAATCATGATCAAATACAATATCAATAATACTAATAAAATACTTTTGTTAAATCTTCCAGGCTGCTCCTGTTATATCCACATTACCCGGCTGTACACCAATGAAACCAGGATCAGCATCATTTCCGTTTTTCGGTGTTGTTCCTGCAATTGTTAACGATGAAGGCCGTGAATTGACTGGTGCATCTGAAGGTCATCTCGTATTCAAAAGACCTTGGCCTGCATTAATGCGAACAGTCGATGGAAACCATAAGCGATTTGAATATACATATTTCACTCGATTCCCTGGCTATTATTGTACTGGTGATGGTAAGAATATTGAAGTCATTTTTTAGATTCTTTTTCATGATTTGTTTCTCATTCATATTTCATTATTTTCATTCAGGCTGTAAGCGTGATAAAGATGGTTATTATTGGATTACTGGACGAACTGATGATCTTTTAAATGTGTCAGGTCACCTTTTATCCACCGCTGAAGTTGAAGCAGCTCTGGTTGAACATCCAGCAATAGCAGAGACTGCCGCTGTATCTACACCACACAATGTTAAAGGAGAGTGTATCTATTGTTTTATTGTTCTCAAAAATGGTTTCGATTATTCTGCACAACTTGAAACTGAACTTAAATCACAAGGTATTTCAAATAATTCTGTTTTGGAATTTAATTTGTTGTGAGCTTTATTAATTTTACTTTTTTTCTTTTCTGTTTAGTTCGTCGTCGTATTGGAGCAATTGCTTCACCAGAAGTTATTCATGTAGCTTCGGCTCTACCAAAGACTCGAAGTGGTAAAATAATGCGTCGGTTACTTCGTAAAGTGGCCCGTGATGAGCGTGATGAACTTGGAGACACTTCAACTTTAGCTGATGACTCTATTCTAGATGAACTTTTTCAAACTCGAAGTATTTACGCATAAATCAAATCAACTAAGATCAACTAAAGCAATCACAATTTCACCTTATATAAAAAAGTGCACTTTATTTCATCCTTTTTTCAAGTACCTTTTATTATTCTCTTGTATTTTCCCTCAATCCTTTCTACTCTTTTCATTATCTTGCGTCTTTTTTGGTCAATTTATTGCAATCATATTATGGATATTATATTTTGATGACCGAAAAAAGGACTTCATCTCAAACTCAGATAAACCAATAAAGGGAAAAAGTTTTGAATATACCAGTTCTTGGCAAACGATCTTGGCAATCAAGAAAACGTAAAATCAAATTATTTTCATCACATCAAGAAATGTGGATCAAAATCATAATAAATGGCGATTAAATTCATTGCAAATTTCAATAAAATTACTATGAAAATCATTGTTTTGTACTTTAATTTTATTGTCTGTTCATTTCTCATTCAAATAATTCAAAATTATGTCAGTATTTCTAAAAATATCAATTAAAATCATATTAAAATCATTCGAAATATTCATTATCAATAAAATATGACACCAAAATCAAATTTTTGCAGTCAGTTATATTTATAAGTTATATTTCAATTTGAAATGGCTGATGAATGTCTGTCTGGCTTCCTATGTTTAAGCTGCCTCATAAATTTTGATAAAAGTGTAGTTAGTACGTAAACGGTATTAAACTTTCGGTCGAAGTGAAGAGTTACAATAAAATCATTTTTCGCAGGTCGCACAATCATACAAAGTTCAAAGTGAATTAAGGCGAAAAAAATGATGTTCACAGTGATTTGAGCCAAAAAGAGTCATATTATTCCTTCTTGATTGTTTAGGTAAAAAATTCTGAATAACCGGGCTGAAGCTGAATTGATAGATCAAATTGAAATTCATTTTAAGCCACAATCAACGAGATCTCAATCAAGAATATTCAAGAAAAGCAACTAAATTGTAGAGGACCATTTAGTTTGTTTCGCCAACAGCAGATGGAAGCAGCGAGTCAATATAAGTAGCTTATAAAAAAAGTTAAGGCCAAAGAGGGAGACTCTTAGCAGAGGTTCACAATTGCAGCTCTTACGGTTTAAGTTATTTTGTCTACTTATTTTGACGGAGTGATGTGTTTCGTTATTATCAGCAAAGTAAATTTTTTTTGGCTTCAAGTTTTTTTTAACTAACATATTTGGCTCATAATTTTTATGTGATTTGGTCAACCCCCTTCTATTAAACACTATCATCATTTTAAACAACATTTTTTTTGCTTCTTCTTGTTCCTCCAAATTGTTTAAACAATTAAACAAACCGTGATGTTTCCTGGTGAAAGACTATTGAATGAATTTATAGATGAATATCCAGGGGAATTTGTGAGAACTGGAAGTCCCAATCTAGTGTGCTCGGCTTTACCAACACATTGGCGTTCTAATAAAACTTTACCAGTGGCTTTTAAGGTTGTAGCCTTGGGTCAAGTCAACGATGGAACCATGGTTACAATTCGTGCTGGAAATGATGAAAATTTTTGTCCAGAATTAAGGAATGCTTCAGCTATAATGAAAAACCAAGTAGCCAAATTTAATGATCTCAGGTTTGTCGGGAGATCTGGTAGAGGCAAGAGTTTTACTTTAACAATAACTTTATCAACAAATCCACCTCAAGTGGCTACTTATTGTAAAGCCATTAAAGTTACGGTCGATGGTCCAAGAGAGCCACGTTCCAAAACAAGTAAGTGTCAAGCAATCAATTCTCTTTGTTTTCTTCATCAGGTGATTCCAATGAACCGGAATTTTGATTTTAAATTATTCCCTTCTATATCTAAATCTCTTTCTCACTTCTCTCTTTCTTAGCCATGTTAAATTCTTGTTGGGGTTTCCCAGGTCAACAGCAACAGTTCCGTGCATTTGCAACCGCCTTCAATGTTCAACAGAGAAGATTTATTGACCCACCTACAGATTGGCGGTTAGGTTTTACTGAAATACCGAGAGGAATTCCACCTCCTTGTCAACTGGATACATGGTACAAATGGATCAATTACAACAGTTTACCTTCAACATCAACACCAAACTCATCATCTGCCCCACCATCATCATCTTTAAACCTTTTACCATCATCTGCATCATCAACGTCACCATCATCATCATCATCTTCATCACAAAAATGGACACAACACGAACACCATTACGGGCAATGTAATTCAGCCTTTGTCTCACCACCAATGATTAACGGCCTTGCCGAACGCAATGAATCGTGTGATGTAACAAATTCATCTCTTTGGAGACCTTTTTGACCTTAAACTTTGTTTCATACTCATAAACCAAAAGCTTACAACAAAAACCTAAAAGATCTTTTTTTGCAACATGATGAACATAAAATAAAATCCATATTATATTAATCAAATGTAATATTAGTATGAAGATAATACATAAAAGACATGAAAGAAATGAACAAGACAAAGATGGAGACGGAGACGAAGGTTTAACGATAACATTTTGTGTGTGTTTCCAAACTGTATATTTATAAAGAAACAAAAGATATTTTTTTGCCTGGAATCAGCCGATTATGGATTTATATTGCTTCAGCGATTTAGGATAATATAGAAGAAGAAGAAGAAGATAAAAAGAAAGCAAAGAATCAAAGAGAAAAATAATGATAACGATTATAAATGAATCAATCAATAATCACTTTAAACTACCAGAATGGAAAAAATTGATTCAAATCTTTTGTTGTTTATACTATTTATTATGATAAAAAAAGTGATTCACATTAGGAGACATTGAAAAGCTGTGAAAAGGTTCAACCCAAAGGAAGACAAAAAAATGTACAAAGTCAACCGTGGACACTGTCGCCATTACCGATGAACCTTCAAAGGAGTGAGAAATCTTCAGGTCAAGGTAAGTCGCCTTTTGCCGAATCTCCATTTACTTTTATGGATATATTAGTTTCCTTTTGCTTTCTTTTAATTTCTCTTCTCTTCTCTTCTCACTCTCTGTCTTTATCTTCTTTTGTCTCTCACTCTCTTGAAACTTGTCGTTTTATGTCTCTCCGTTTCAACAATTTAAGCTCATTTTATGATCTTTCCCTTAAGTTTTTCTGTGTTTCATTATAAAACCAAAGTAATCAGTAAGAGTAGCTTTAAAAAAAACTCACACGCACATTCGCACTCACAAATAAAATAAAAATCCTCAGCGCTAGCCAAATGTTAGTTTATTTACACTTACTCCTTGGCTTCCTCCCATCATCATCTCCATCTTCATCTTCCATCTTTCCTCTCTCACTCTCCTTGCTTCAAAGACGATCTTTGTGTGTCTTCTGTAGTTACAGTATTTACTAATGCAATCTCAACCTTTTTACCAATTCATTGTGACACTCAAAGTATACTTTGTTTCTCTATCTGTCTTTCTTTGAAATTTTTTCTTCTTTCAACATTATCATCATTTTGTATTCCATTATCATCACCATTCATTTTTTTCCTCATTTACTTAGTTTTATCCCCTTCCCTCCCTTTACTTCATCATTTCATTTCTAGTTATGATGAAAAAAAGACTTGAACCAACCTTTTTCTTGCAACTGTCATCATTTTTTTATCATTATTATATTTATCAATGTTTTAATGTTATTTTACCTTTGATTCAAGTTATTACGATTAATGGTTCAACATTTCAAGCCAATTCAAGATTAATTGTAATTCCCTAAGTAAACAGAGTTTTTTTTTCAATTTCAACTTTTCACCCAAAATCAAATGATACTTAAGACTCTTTTCCCTTCGTCACAATTCAATGTTAGCCTTCCATTAACATGAACTTTAAGTCAAGACAAAACTAGATTTTGAGTTGAACAAAATATTGAAGTTGAAATGTATTTAAATTTGACAATCTTGCTCCAATCATACCATTAACCTAACCAATTTATAACATAATCAAATCAACCTTTAATGCAAGGATATTTTTCTCAATGCTTTTACCTTTCCGTTGAAACCAGTAATAATCAGGAAAAAAAAGAGCCAGTAATCAACTTACAAATAATCATTTCTCAGTTTGCTGATTACCTCTTCAAGACCATTGACATTACCAGAAAATTTTAACGTCCACAACATAAAAACAAAAAAAACTAGCCAAGATGAAACTAAAGTAATGGCAATAATAATGTAAAGTAAATGGATTAGCAAATGATTAGTTATGTATTGATTAACCCATTACATATCACATCAAGATTATGTACTGTCATTGATACAGGCAGATACAGTCAGAGAAAGATTGAGACTTTATCCTTCAACGTGATGGGTTTACCTAATGAAGCTTCCCATTAAAAAGGTTCAATCTATCTTTCCCTTTCTGGTCACAATTTGTGAGACCAAATTAACTAACCAACCCAACCAATCTTTTCAGATCAACTCAATTCAGTTCTACTTTTCCTCCCACTTTCCTATTCTTTTATTCATCCTATTTCATCCTCTTTCCATCCTCATCATCCAAAAATCTTCCTAAAACTCTCTCTCGACTAGTCATGGTTTTACTCAACTCACAATCCTCTATTTATCTTTATACATAAAACTATTTTTTTTTATTTCGTCTTCTCCTTTGTTTTCACATTCATTTGGGTTTTCACCAAATGAATCTGTAAATGTCTCAATCTCATGATTCAATCCACGTTTCACCGCTATTAGTTGAACCCAATGGATATTGTGTATTGACCAGAAATCCCGGTTGTTCAGTTTAAGAAAATTATACCTTCTCGTTCATTGTATTTCCACCCATTAACCAATCATCCTCAATGTTATCAACTAATTACAACTTAAACTACAGACTACTATTCAACTTTTCACCCAACCACCTTACCTACTGATGATTAGATTACGGCCACTTTCCGGTGATCATTTACTAATTGGTTAATATTGCTATTGATCACCCTTTTTGCCTTCTTCATCTTCATTCTTTTCTCATCTTCTTTCATTGATTTTCTTCTTTTATTCCTACTTTCGCATTCTTTATTTGTATTATTAACTTTACGATTCCTTGTTAGCCAAATCAAATAATAATACTAATGGCCAACACTAATAATAACTTGAACCAACAATTCAATTGGCCATTCTTATTGTTGCACAAATGGACAATCAACTCAGTTTTTATTCATTACAGTTATTGATTAACCTCCTTTTTTCGTCTAATTTTTTTTCCTCCTCATCATTTTAATCTTCATTTTCATCTTCTCCTCCATTTATAACCTTCTTTGGTTACAGGCAAGTTATTTGAGCCTGAAAACCCAAAATGAACCTAAATGATAGTTGAATTGAATTAATTATTCTCTATTGAAATGTCTAACCTTTCATTTAGGGACAAAATAAATTACTACCAAATTACTAGTAAACAGGAAGATCGAGAGAAGAGTGAGAAAAAAAGAAGAAGAGAAATAACAGAAATTGTTCTTTCCCAAATTCCTATCACCAATTTAATTCCTGTAATCATTTTTCACCCTTTCCGAATCACACCAAATGATACAAACCAAGAGACACCATCAACAGTTTTCAATTCATTTTCACTAAACAATCTTGCCTTTTTTGACAGCCTTTTGTACCTGATGGCTCAATTGGATTAATTAACTTCCAAATCGGCCCAAACCTCAACTGCAAACATGAAGAAACCACAGACGATGAAGCAACTAACAACCAAAACCTAAACCTGAAGTTCAACCTAAACCTGGACCTGACCCTGAACATGAACCTGGTCAAATGAATAACCTGTCCTAATCTGAATCAGCTGATTCCAATGAATCTTGCAATCTTTTCAGCCTTCACTCTTTAAATAAAAAAAACTGACAAAAAAATATCTAAAATTGAACATTTACTTCTCGAATAATGATCAATCCATATTAATGTGTTGAGTGGCGTATTTACAACAAGATGATAAACTGTTCATGAAAAGATGTTAAAGAAAGAGATGAAGAGAAGAAGAAAAAAGATGATAAAAAAGTCAGGAGAAGCAAAAGGTTTAATGATGAAAAATTTTCTCTTCAAACATATTTATAATGATGATATTATTATATTTTTTGCCTGGAATCAACCGATAAGGGATTTATATTGCTTCATTGATTTAGGATAATAGAGAGTAAATCAGTGAATTATGATTATAAAGAATCAAAGATAATCACTTTCTATTAACAAAAGCAAAGGCAAAAACTGATTTACCTACAAATTGATTCAATCCTCTTGTTTATCATCTATTATTATTATTATAAAAAGTGATCATGAATCAGGGAAAAACGCAAAAAGCTGTGAAAGGTTTAACCAGAAAAAAAACAGCAACCGAGAGAAAAAAAGAAAAGAGTTGAAAAGTCACTTTTTTTATCATGAAAATTGGCCTTTTACTTTACATTCAAATTCACTTTCAAGTTTAGCCCATCAATGTCGCCATCATTTTACTCTTGTTTTTCATCTTCATCTTCCTTTCATCCCAAAAGAATCTTTAACTTTGATGAAAAAATCGGTCTCAATTGTTGTTTTACATTTACTTTTAAAAAAGGCTTTCCATTTGGCAATCACAATAAACTATTAAAGAAATGGTTTGGATAAAAATGGCAATCAAAATGAGAGTCTATTTGATGATCATGTTAATGATGATGGCAAGATGAACAGGTAAAAATGGTTAACTGAATTAGCAAAGGAATGCAAGATTTATGTAAAAGCTAAATTGATTGTGATTATTTGTGAGAAATGTTAACTAGGAAGAAAAAGGTAAACAAAGATTGATGTTGCTATAAATTGAATCACTTATACTATTCTTGTAATCTAATATGTGAAGTTCAAGCTGAAAGGGTGAAAATAATGAAAACAAGTGAACCAATTGAAACAATTTCAATTTGCTTGACAAAAGTAAGGTCAAAATGTATTGACAGAAAAAAATTGATCTGTTGAATCTTGTAACTTCACCGATTGATATTAATATAATTGATGAAAAGGTGAGGTAAATTGAGATTCAAAAGGTTTACTGAAGAGGAATGAAAAGGTAAACAATTGACAACAATTGAAGGCACAGGCGAGGAAAGGGAAAAGTGGCTCGAAATGGCTTTAAAAGTGCCATTTGAAAGGGAAAGATGATCAACATTATCAACAAATAATAATAATGATAATTGTTGAGCATGAGCAACAATAGATTATATCATGTTAAATGTAAGGCGACAGAGTTGGGCACATGAGCGATGATATACTTTATAGTTGAAGGCGAGCTGAGAGTAAAGATGAAGAGGGAAATGATGGAGAGAGAGAGGATGAGAGGAGGATAAAGAGAGTGAGAAGTTAAAGTAAGTAGAAAGACGAGAGAAATTTTGAGCTATAATAAAGAGTAATAGAAGCTATAATAATGATAATAAAAATAGTCGACGGCCTAACATTTAGTGGTTGTTAGTGAAGGACATTGGCAAGTGCTTTTACAGTAGTAACTAAACATTCACTAAACAGCTAAATATTGAACCTTTTTGAGCTTACATGCGAACTTTTCATCTTCATCTCTCTCTCTTTCCTCAGCTTTCCATCAGCTTCCATCTTTGTCTTCCTCTTCTCATCCTCCTTTTTAACTTTGGATTCACCAATGAAAACCAAACTCGGCAAACCAAACTAAAGCATTATGTGGATATCCTTTTCTATGGCCTCTTCTCCTACCTTTTTCATCTTCCTCATCTTCATCCTTGCAGCCTCTCTCTATCTTTATGACTCACTTTTATCTCCTTCTTCCATTTTATTCATAGCTTTTCATCTTCTCTTTTTTTTGTTGAATCTTTTCTCTCCTTTTATTATAGTTTTTTCTTCTGTTGTTGTCCTCGGCTTTTTTTATTTCCATCTCGCTTTGTGTCTGAGTGTGTTTGTGTTGATGTTGTGTTTATATTGTAATATGTTTCATCTATTGATATATTTATAATATAAGTTATCCATTTAAGCGACCTTATCGTAATCGCCTTTCCCATTGTGCTAGTTGCCACTAGCTACAAGTTTCAAGATTGACTGGGAGTTAGAGGGCAACATGATAGGCATAAAGCTCCAGCCAGGCTTTGTTTGATCAAGATGATTATGAAGATGATGCCTCCTGGAAAGTAGGTTAAGAGAGAGAGAGTTAACAATGATGGAAATGTTTTAAATATTTATAAAAATGTATAAAAATGAGATGGAAATGTTTGTCCATGTTTTTTTTGGTTTCACTTTTTGCCAACGTTTTTCAATGTAACTTACATTTCCAATCTTTCCAGTCTTGTCTCTCCAAATGGTTGGTTTTCAGCCTTATGTGCTTTACTGATTTGTCTGATTGTTGATGAGTGATGATTGGCATGATTGAAGACTCACGCAACGATGTATTTACTTGACTGGTTTAATTTCACTGGTTTTAGTTGCATCTTCCATGTTTACCTCAACTTCAATTTAACATAAAAAAGCGACAATTTGTTTCTCATTGAAAAAAAACAAAAGTAACTTTGATATAAATCATTGTTGATACTTTTTGGCTTGATCTTGTATGTTGTACAGAAAAAAATGTCACATTTATCCTGCTTTTATAATCTTTTGAAAGTTGATCGCTTTTTGTCTGTTTTCATGAAAAGGATAAGGTTATGACCCTTTTATCAATCCATAAGCTTTATGGAGGAATCAACACTGAATTATGGATCATGCAATTCAAGGTTTGAGTCAAAGTTAATAAGTGAACTGTAAAAAGTTGATCGTAACTATTGATCTTTCGTATCATCTTTGTGACCAGTTTTTCAGGGATAACCAAATAGATTCAGTAAATTGAACTGTTAATTTGACTGCAAATTTTGTGTTTAGTTGAACCATTTGATGATTGAAGGAGAACATAAAAGGAAGATCATTATTATTACAATAATCAATTGACTTTGAACAACTGGAATCATCAAATTGGAATCTCATCTTTAAACATTATCAATGTTAACAGAGAGAGAGACAAGGGTTGAAGGGAACAGAAATTGTAACACAAATCAGATTAATTGATTGTTCAAGTTATCACGCAACTTTCAATTATTACATTTGCCGGAGACATTATTAATGTAGATTGTTAATAGTTTCAACTTTCAGGTTATTGATTGTTTCGAGTCACGCAAGTATCATAAGTCAAAAGGCTAAATACTCTTGATACAGCTTTTGCCACTAAACATCAGTTCTGATTCCTTATTTTATAATAATAATATCAGTTCTCTGGTTTTACGCTGATATCAACACAATCAATTAATCCATTATATTACTCTTTTCCTCCTCCTCCAATTGCTCTTCAAACTCCCACTTTACCATCTCCTCCTCCTCCTCTTTAGTCTTCTTCGTCTTCTTATCCTTTGCTTTCTCCTTTATCATCATAATACACCAACTTTCCATCTTGATTCATCTTCTCTCCTTTTCCTTTTTTCCTTGGCCTTTACTTTAATTGTTACCCAATTGTGTTTGATTTACCAGAAAAATTCATTGTTTCATTATCAACTGTTTAACTGTTATATATTGTGTTGTGACCCTCCATGTTGTGTTGTGTGTTGGGTAAAGAATCACTTAACACCAGATTGGTAAGGTTCACACTCTAATTTGGTCAAAAGAATCAATAAATAGATCAATGATATTGATTTATTGTTGAAATTGTAGTTGTTGTAGTAGTAGTGGTAGTAGTAGTAAGTGAGTGGAGTAAAAGTGATCATGATGATGATGATGATGGTGATGATTAAACTAAGGAAAGAAAAAATAGAATGAAAAAAGATGAAAAGAAGCGTAAAAAGGAGGTTTTTTTTCATCATTTTATACTGATTTTTTTCTACTTCTCGCTTTGCTCTTTTTTTGGCTTTGACTTGATTTCATGTTTTATTTTATGGTTGTGTTTTGAGTGTGACTGTGTGTGTGTGTTGTTAGGTAGTTTGTTGATTGTTTTGTCACATCAAGCAAACACACACACATACACACAGAGAGTAAAGGACAGAGAAAAGTAAGATGAAGTAAAAAATCAACACAAAACCAGGCAATTGAAGGGAATGATGTTTCTACTGCTTTTCAATATGAGAAACCAGAAAAGGAGGAGAAACCCTTTCAATTAATCTTACCAGAAAGAAGATGATGATGAGGATGATGATCAAGATGATGATTGTGATGAGATGAAAAAAAGGCTTGAAACTTTGTTCAGTATCAGGATGAAGATGACGAGAAATGAAGAGAAACAACTTGGTAATAAAATAAATTACTGTTTATGTGTTCATCATCAGAAGGAAAAAAGTAAACTCTTTTTAACTTTGATTATCTTGAACGGTTTTTTTCCCTTGCCATTAGTTTCAGTTTGTTCAATTCATTTTGTTTTTTTGATCAATGATCAATATTAGACATTATTATTACAAACATTGATTTGTATCAAATGATGATAGTGATAATGACGGTGATGGTGATGATGATAATAAACAGTATTAACTTAAATTAACTTGGTTACATTTGGTTACAACAGTTTAGTTTCTCATCAAATCACTGTTCTTGTTGTAGGTTAACCAATCATTTAAATTGATTCAATCATACAGAAACTGTAAACAGAATAAAAGAGAAAAGAAAAAGAAGAAATGAGTAAATTGACGGAAAACCAAGTTAATTAAGATAACAGACAAAAAGATTGATTCAAATCATCCACTGTAGTTCATTCCAACAATTGAAGTCTACTGTCTTTAAATGGACGTTAACTGAAAAATTGAGCCACACCTTTGACCATAAAATATATCCACAAGCATAGTCCATTGATTCCTCTGTTAATTTGCCACTTTCACCGGCCATGTCATACCTAAATTGTAATTAAATAAATAAGATATTAATACAAATGAATTAGTTAATAGGTGAAACAAGACTTACCATTTATACCAATAACTTAACTCCTATTTCATTAGATTGGTTACATGTTAATGTTACACGCTGATTAATTAAGATTAATTGATTGACTGGTTGAAGGAGAGAATAACAAAACGCTATTACCATTTAAACAATCATGACCATCATCTTAATCAAGTGAAAACAATTGTCTACATTAACTGGTCCAATGTTAATGATAAATAGTGACTATTGGGTTGTAATTTGGGTTTACAGTCAGCAAAAAATGTCGCAAATAAATGAATCCCGATAAATACCAACAAGATCCGATCCAGATGAGTACAGATACCAAATGGTCACCTAATTTGAAAGTGAAAATGAATTTATTGTACATTTTGTATAAAATTTAAAAATAAACCAACAAAAATTTACCTGAAAATGAGTTTAAAACAGTTAAAATTAAATAAGGAAACAAAAATACCAACTGGTTAAAGGTCATTTAGATGATGTAACAGTAAAGGTTGACTTAACAAAGGGAAAAAAAGGTAAGCTTAATACGTTTAATTTTTCTGCCAAAATGAAAGTCAACCTGGTTGATTGATTTGGCTTCAATTGTATGCTTAAATACATTCAATTTAAATACATCTTAAACCTAAACAACCCAAACTTAAACCTTAACAAACCTTGTAATGGTTAAAATGGTTCAACACAATACACAAAATAACTCATAATAAAAAAAAAGGTATAGGAATAGTGATAAACAATGAATCCTTGAAGCAAAGTAAAATATACAGTCAGAAAAAAAAGATATAATATTATAATATATTTGAATGTTAAAAGCACGCCTTTTGACCAAATAATGATAATAAAAAGATTGGTTGAGTATATTTTGTAAAATGTTGAAACCAAATGCTATTATTGTAATGAAATTTGATTGTTATAAAAAAAAGAAGGTAAAGCTGAAAAAGCAATAAGCAATAACATCAAAATCAGGTTGAAGATGAAGGTAAGGAAAGATGAAAAAAAGCAAGAGGTTAACCCTGAAAATATTGGGCCAATTTATTTTGACAGTTTTAAACAACACCATTAAAATCAACAAGACCAACAATAAGTTAGCTAAACAGCAACAGTCAGTTGAAGGGACAACAACAACAACAGTCAAGAAAAGAGGTTTATAACATTACATTTGAATGTCTCCTGCTGGTCAATGCTTTTCATTGAGTAATTTAAGTTACTCACAATTTGTCAAAAAAATCATCTCTCTCTCCTTTGCCCTCTCTGTTTGATACATTGTTCAACCTTTGACCCTACCTTTCACCAAATAACCTCTCACTTTGGCCTCTCATCTTTATCATCTTTCCTCCTTTTGTTACACTTTTGCCTCTCTATTATAGCAAAAAGAAAAGGTCTTTTCTTCAATATCTCGCATTACATTCCCTTCATCCTCATTATCATTATTATTCCGAATCATCCTTCTCAATTTTTCATCTTTTTCTTCCTCAATTTTCTTCCTCTCTCTCTCACTCACTTTCATCTTCCTTCTCCTCCTCCAATCATCCAGAAGCAACTAGATATCATTGAACAACAAAGGCCAACTTGGAGGACCAACAAAGGGAAAAGGCGAAGAGATGAAAATCTAAACCTAAAAGGTCAAAAACTGTTGAAATTGTCAAACAACCTTTGTAAAAAGGTAATAAAGTAATCGCCTTAAAGGGTCAAAATTTAATTTAATATACAACCTATTACCAGTTATTACCTGTTATTTAAACACAAATCACAAATTGATTATTTACGCTTATTCACACACTTATTTACACAACTTAATGCTGCACTTTTTTCATGCTTATTATCAATATGAATACAACAACCAAACAGATTATTAACTGTACCAGAAAAGAGACACAAAACAAAGTCTAATGAAAGGCAAAGTGCATCAAGAAATACATGACAACATTCATTGTTGAACCGTAAAAGTTAATTGAGATTCAAGTTATACTTTAATAAACATGATAAATCTCAAAGCTCTAAACCTTCCCTCTGAATTGAACACCAATTTACATGATAACAGCATTTTCTTATCATAATAACAATGTGTTGAAGATGAGAAAATGTTATCAGTATTCTGAACATGGTTTTATCATGTCTTAAAAAATTCATTCCAACAAGCTGGATAAGAAAACAATAACAAGTTTCGAAGAGACCAGAAAAAAAAGTAAAGTAACAAAGGAATGAAGATGAACAAGAAGAAGAAGAAATAAGATGAAAAATTGCTATTTTGAATATATCATTGGAAGAGATTTGTTCAGGAATACATTTCATGTTAACAGGGAAAAGAAGAGGAAAAAGAAGAAGAAGAATGAAGATGACAAAGAAACAGTTTTCAATCATAATTGTTTTATTCAATGATTCTTATACTTTTTCACATTCATCATCTTTTTACATCATTTTGTTTCCATTGCCTTTACTCAGGTTTCCCTAGAGATGAAAACATGAAACATTATTATTGAGAGTTTTGCATGTTTCCTTCATCTTCATGATAAACTCAGGGTAAACAAAAAAGCTATTCAAAATACTGACGATAAGTTGAAATTAAAAGAGATCAAATGAACATCTTTCAATTGTCTTCACTTTTCACTTCAACTTGCAAAATTTCAATTTCAACTTCATCAACAAGAAGAGGAAAAAATGTGTTGAAAATTGTCATATAATATTGTTATTGATATCATTCCAACATTCTGCTCGAAAGATTTTTAATAAACTCTGAAAGACCAAAAAATGATTCAAAATTAAACATTCAACTCTTCATCACTTGATGATTGATTCGTTGAACCCGTTAATTTGATTATAAAAAGGTAGTCATTTGATTACAATCAACCTTCTTCAAAACTCTTTACTCTTTTTTTCCTCTTCTCATCATTACCATCAACTTTCATCTTTTTTTTCAGATATTAGATTATCTTTGGTAACAGATTGAACCAAAGTCATTAAGTAATCTGATGAAAATGATTTCCTTAATTATACTCAACAGATTGAGCCTAATGTGAATATTAATCGATGTTGATGGCTATTTCGGTGAGTTGATGAGTCCAAGTGTCAGTCAACACTGAGAGTGTCAAAGGTAAATATTGACAATATGTTTGAAAAAAGTTAATATTTCTTTTTTTCTTGTTTCGTTTCAACCTTTTGCTTTCTGTAGGTTAATTGTGTTTAACTTTTACTTTAATACAAATAAACATGATCTTATACACTTAAATAATCTATGCCAACGGGGATTGCGTGATTTCAAACAATCAAAGTGAGTTAGTTGAGAGTTTTGTCTCATAACATATCATGTAACCGGAGGCAATGATCATGAAAAGGTTTGGTCTTTTCACTTTCTCTTAGCATTTGCTTTTTTTATCATTTCTCTTGCTATTGAATTAGAATCAAAAGTGACACTTGAACCATTAAAGCTCAAAAGCAAACCATTTTTTGTTTTAGGATAAAGAGGAACCCAAAAGAAGAAGAAAAAGAAGAGCAAAAATTGCCGAAAGCGCTTTTATATGGAACCAAATATGACAAGCTCAGTGAACTGAAGATGAAAATGTGAATAAGAAGAAGACAATTAAGTTTTTTGTTTCAGTGATAAATAGGATGAAGGATGATGAAGGAAGCAAAATGTTACATCAATTTGTTTCGTCTAATGTTGTGCCTTTAATGTGATCAACTAATAGGTTTCCATATTGTTTTCACTCTTCAACATTTAATCCACTTTTTGTCTGTAAATTGAAAAATATTATTGAAATTAATTCGGTTCTGAGTGAAGAACACAGTTTTGGGAAAAAACATTTTCATATCCATTATCATGTTGTGAGTGTTAATTTTAACAAACTTCAAGTATCATCTTCAACATTAGACACTAATGTAGATTAAATGTGCCAAAGGATTATTACTGAGAGAAGAAGAGTGAAAATGGAAAAGATGAAAATGATGAAAATGTTGATGATGATGATGATTATAATATGAAATTTTGTTCAACATATTAGACACAAAAATTGTAATCTGTAAAGGACTTGAAAGTGAAGAGGAAAGGTTTAAAAATGGGAAAAAGAAAGGCCAGGAAAGAGGTTGAACCATATGATTTTAAATGGATGAGAGATGATGATCAGAGGGATGAGGAGGAGTTGCAGGCAAGAGAGAGATGAAGATGAACAAAGTTGAAACTCTCAGATGACTTTTGGCAAGCCAAAAATGGGTTTTGCCTGTTATTAAAGGTTCCACACAAAAGCCCATGCTTTTGATTCCCATTTCATAACATCTCAACCTTTACATTTTTGCAATTTTTGTCAAAATGTAAATGTCTTCCTCATCCTCATCAACTCTCATCAGTCTGTTTTGATCAATACGAGAAGAAGCAAAACATTTAAATTCCTTTTCTTTTTTCCTCTACTTTTCTCTCTTTTAATAACATTTACAATTTAATCAGCTTTATTATGAATATTAACATGAAATGTTGAAATGAAAAAGAAGAGCAAAAATGAAAATAAAATGCAAACTTTTTGCTAAGCCAAAGTTAATCAGACAAAAATGAATACTAATTAGGATAACAATTTATTCAACACTTTCAATCAACAATCTTATACATTGTTGTACAAATGTTTCAACTAATTAATGAAATCAATGGAAATGGTGAAAAGTTCTGGGAGTGAAGAGTGAAAATATTGATAATCATTTAGATTCAAAATTAAACTTTAATATTCATTGATTTTGTGAGAAAAAATGAAATTTAAAAAATGAGTTAAATTTTCGAGAAAAAAGTGAAATCGTTTTTTCGCCTTCGTTCAACTTTTCATCGATAATTTTTCCAGTGAAATGATATTATTTGGATATTTTCAAATGCTCATGAGACTAATTTGTTAAACTGATCGCTTCTTCATGATCACAGTTTGTTGTCGATCTTGTCAAATGATTTCACATTCTGTGTACATAAAAATACATATAAAAAAGAGTCAATTGAGTCCAATGCGATTTGAAGAATCGTTCAACACGAGAAAGCACTTTCATCAAAAATTATCATCATCCTCATCACCATTATCATCACTCCTTTACTTTCATCTTTTCTTTTCAAACATTTCCTCTTCTTTCAACCTTTTTCGCCCTTTTTATGGAAAAGGTCTTCACCTTTTTGCCATTCTATATAAAGTTGATACAATAAAAGAAGATAAAAAATCGGTTGATGATGTAAAAGGATGAGCAAAAGGATAACCCCTTGGGCTATTACAATAGGCACTCCCAGAGGTTCTTAAGGCTCATCATGTTATCCGATCATCAAAAGAGGATCATTTTATCACAAATTTTTTCCTCCCTTTTATCACTTTCCATTTGTAGTCAACTATCAAGTTGACAAGGCAAAAATAAAAACATTTTCAAGTGTCATTTGTCACTAAATTGTAACCCATTTCAACAATTAGAAGTTTAATATGACAAATCAATGAAACTCACAATTTTCAATCTTTTTTCTTTTTCGAAGAAAACAATTATTCTGTAAATATTGATTTACAGGGCCAATGATCTGTGACCTTTCCATGTTTACTTTTTCTCATTTAATGGGATAATTCAGTACAATATAACCAAAGTTGAATTGACTTTAAAATTAAATTGATCGAGCAAATTGAAGCCAAAAAATCTTAATTTTTGCATTTTTATTGGACATGGCTTTAATTGGTTCAACAAATTCAACAAAATGTTGTTCGAAACCGAAACTAACCTTCATCATTCAGATTCAGAAATCCTGGTTCAAAACAAATAAACGTATTCTTTGTGGTCATTATCATGGCAAAATGAAGATTCATTCTTGTAAGGTTAATATGCTTTTAAGTCAAGATCAAGTCTTGAAGAGACAAAGTTATAAGAAAATAAATATTTAGAAAAGATTTTTGGATAACTTCGACGAATTGCTTATCAGCATATAGTGCGTAAACTAGCTGGTGAGAACTCTGGTTTTGCTGTAAAATTTTTCTTAAGATTAAATGCTTCATTTTTCTGTAGTTCTTGTGTTGGTGGACCTTATTCCGGTATTTTTGATTTTCCTCTTGTTCATATCAGACCTGATCAGGATTTAACACTACTGATGGGAAATGTTAATCTTTTGGCTCATGAAAAAGGTTTGAGATGCACATCCAACTACTGAACTTCACTGTAGTGAACCAGCTAGGATGATTCATTCCGCAAAAATTCTGAATTTACCTCTCATCTTATGTTTCGGAGTTAAGAATACTAATGTTCGTGATGCCATGAAAATTCCTGAGCAAATAACTCTAACTGTTGATGATGAAAATGTCAGTTATCGTCGTTTAGATAGTAGTGTTTGGTTTGACACTTACAAAAATGAAGAGCTTAAATTTGATTACGGAAACTTTTATCATCCCCGTGTTGATGGTGATACGAAAACAGGTGCTCATACCTATTTACATTTCCGTACTGATAATGTTTTAGTGTAAGTAAATGATGGTTATTTGTTCACCGTTGACCCTCGTATTTTCCAAGTTGCCACTCCTTGTTCAATTCATTTTTATCAGCAAGAAAAATTGAACGAGTTTTTACCAACTTATGATCCTGAAACTGTTCGTGAAAATCCACTCAACAAATTCAACAAAATGTTGTGCGAAACTGAAACTAACCTTTCATCAGAAATTCTGGTGCAAAACAAATAAACGTACTCTTTGTGGTCATTATCATGGCAAAATGAAGATTCATTCTTGTAAGGTTAATATGCTTTTAAGTCAAGATCAAGTCTTGAAGAGACAAAGTTATAAGAAAATAAATATTTAGAAAAAGATTTTGGATAATTTCGGGAAATCAAAGCTTTTTTTGCATTTATTGATTGTAAATCATGTTTTAAAGTGATCTGCGTTTTTCTGAAAATTATTTTGTTTGCTTACAACACAAAGTCGAATCGATTTGGCAGTAAAAGCACTTTTCGCTTTTTGATATTTCATTGAAAAAACTAAACCAAAGACTTTTATTTTTCCAATCAAATGTTGGTTTTTTAAGCCAAAATTTTCATGAATTCACTTGAATTAGACTGGAAATTTAAACATGAGCCATTCAATCAGTCTAATCATTAATGTTGAACTGAAACAGTTGGATGAAAAGAATTGAATTAAAAAATTTGACTTTTTGGTTTGTTTTATTTTCTCTGTTTGTTTTTCTGGTTAAAATGGTTGGTAACACTTGTTAAATTGTTTTTGATTAATTGGTTAACAGTTTTTGTTCATTAACTAAATGTGTAAAATTGAATGAAACTAAATAAGGAGAAGCGAGTTGTAACCGTTTAATACCATTTGTAATACTGGAAAAGGTAACAATAATAAGTGATTCAGTGATGTTCACTGATCAGAACGAGATTCATGTTCATCATGTTTAGCCTGTTTCTTTCCTTGTTGGTGTCAAGTCTATTACATTATGAAAACCATTAGTTAAAACCATTTGAACAAAAGGCAAAAGGCTTTGCTCAGCTTCATTGATACGACAACAGAAGCAACAACATTGGACGAAAGAGTAAAGCCAGAGTAAGGTTATAATGATGGGTATCATTACCATGAAACTCAACTTGAAGAAGGTGTAAAAAAAGTAAAGCATAAGGTGAATAGTGTATAATCTTAATGGATGTAACCATCATTTTTGTCAAATGATGTTCATGTTTTCAACTTTTACTTTAAATTGACTTTTCTCTGCTTTCTGTTTACCCTTACATTTGGGATTCATTTTAACATCCTTTTCATCCTCATCATCATAATGATAAACAACAATCTGAATCAATTGAATGAAAGAAAACAATTTCCAGAACTTTTCCTCAAAACCCAAATTAACTCCAGTTGTCTTTTCAATAACATTTTCTGTCACCTTTGACCAACGTTCATCTTTCATCGACTTTTCATTCCTTTTCATTAGTCGCTGAATAAGTTTCCAATAACTTTTCACTTTTATTTCAATGTTTCTCCAGTGAGAATTTGAAATGAATTCAGTCGATAAATTGTTGCTTTATGTTAACCTTTTCCTTTCAATAGGTTTTTATTGTTACTGTTTTTTGTCATTTTTAAGATTATCCTTTTTTCCAGGTAAAATAGTTGTTCACTCAGTGGGAAATGTGATGAGATTTATGGTGAAAACAAATGCATGGTAAACATGATGAAATGTGAATAAAATTAAAACGATGAAACAAGTTGAGTATGTAAGATGAAAGTTAAATATTTTGACATTTTTTTCCTCTTCTTCTTTTCACTTATTTTGGCTCTTTTATTTTGACACTTTTTGTGTTGCTTCAAATCAAGATGAGGATGAACAATCTGATATGGAAACAGATTAAAGTGAAAGATTGTTCTGATGTTTAAAGGACAATCATTTTCATCCTCATCAAGATGTTTCATTCAATTTTGATTCGGACTCGTAAGTAAGAAGGAAGACAAGAAAACTCAAGTCAATGTGACGATCAAATCAAGTGGACTGGACAGTATTTGTTATAATAATAGATAATGTTCAAAGATGGCAAAGAAGACGAAGAAGAAGAAGAAACAGAAATCACAGGAACAAAGGGAAAGATATAAAAAAGATCAAGAAAAAGGTTCAGACTAAGAAGCTTCAAGAATATTATGATGAAAAGGATGATAAGTTTTGTCTCTTCTTTGCTTGCCCAATCCTTGTGATTAGCTTCATCTGGTTACATCTTAAGTCCACAATTTCCTATGGGAAAAATGTGGTCAG